TCTACACATCCCCATCTCATTCCAGCCAAACATAAAATACTATAGCCCCAACTGAACATTCTCTCTGTCTAGCCTCGTCGCCATCGCCTACGCAGAGATCAACTGCTCCTGCACAGGCGCTCTGCAACTCTCGGTCCAATGCTGCCCGCAAGCATCCTTGTGGAGTGAGCCCCCCTCTCCTCACCACCCACCCCAAATGACCCAAAGAGCTGTTCGACTAATCACGGGACATTCCACGCAGACGGCTACGAGTGCGAACTTAAGGGAGCCAGCCAGGCTGATTACACGAATTGTTGCAAGCCCGGCCCATATGGCGCCAACTGCAGAAACACGTAGATGCAGATGTGCACCACCTGTGTTCTATGCCAGGGAGGCCATGATAGAAGCGAGGTGGCGGGTGGAGGGTGGAAGGTGGAAGGTGGAAGGTGGAAGGTGGAAGGTGGAGGGATGAAGGTTGTTGGTGCCTTAATTCTCAATTAGATGGATTCATCTCAATTAATAAGAGACGTACCAGCCCACCAGCGAGAGCTTTCTACTCCTTGTCGAAACATCTTCTACGTCCCCCCCCCTTTTGCCTGGGATAGCCATGGGTAAGTGGATGAGTGAGGATATGATGATGATGATGATGATGATCATGACGAAGACGGTGATTTCTTGCCTGCGCGTGACGTTCCCGAATAATGTGAGAGGGTACAGCCCAGCATTACACTTTCCCTCTCTCTTTTCGGTGGCGAAAGCGTGTTTGCTCTCATGAGATGAGAGATGACCGTTGTTTGGCTGATGCGTTTGAGCTCTGATGATGGCTGTTTAGTAAGAAGCGAGATCAACGCCTTGAGAAGGGATGCCTGATAGTGAGTAAGTGGTCCGTGGAGGATTGGTGGGAAAATGAGCAAGGATGGAAATAAATACAAATAACGGAGCGCATGCAGAGGCGAGGAAGACTCGAGAAAAGGAATAGTAAGTGAAAGTTCTTTCGTCATTTGAGAACCGCTGGAAAGATTCAAGGTCGAAAGAGTCAGAAACGAGGACTGGCTACTTCTGTCCACGGCACTGGATTTTTTTACTAACTTACTTTGAAGTCTAGACGTTCTCAAACCTCAAGTGAGAGTTTTGTATTTTCCAATTGCAGGTTCGCCAAGCTCTTTAGAGCTAGCTTCTCCTGAAAACCGCGCTACGCTACATGTCAATACTCTCATTGAATCGCAGCACACCAGTCGCCTTCATCACTCCATCAATACCCTCCTGTAACGTCGGGAAAGAATCATCATTGATACCCTCATTCGCTTGTTGCTCTGCGGACTTGTCTGTGACCAGTACAAGTCCTTGTGCTTTGATTGCCTCGATCAATGCTGGTACCATATCCTAGAATACCAGTCAGAACTTGGATAAGGTATCCTGTTAAGAAAGAGGAAATAAATTTACCAAAAGACGAGAGGAGCATATCAAGCCCATGAAGTTGTTGTTCTGGGCTATCCTTACAGCTTCCTTAATCGAGGTTGTTCTTCTCCCGCTGCTGAGAACAGAGGTCGACGGTGCTGGTTCGCCCTCGCGGCCAAGGTCGTTGCATAGGAAGACTGGGTAGTTCGGTTGCTTCCAATTTAGCGCCGTGCATACCGTTGGGTTAAAGGAACTGAAGACGATGGACCTCATGGCATCTGGTGTCCGCTCTCTCAGTGCCCTCGCATGATCAAAGACAACTGCGAGAATGGCGTCCCCGAAGGTGTTGATGTTGACCGTGGGCCCTAGTCGGAGTAATTTCTCTTCTTCTGCTGACGGGTATAGCACCTGTATATTGACATGCATACCTGCTGGCAACAGAGCTAAAGCATCTTGTAGAGATACAGCCGAGCTCGAGAGGACTCGATGCACGTCGAAAATGCTATCCAGTGGTTGGTGCGGAAGCTCTGACAAGTCCCCAGCTTTGCTTGCGTGGTGAGATCCTGCGCTCACAAATTGGGCATAAGTCATACGGCTGACTGGAAATTCGATGTCCATGTAGTCAATTGTCCACCTTGGCCACAGGACTGGTACCCCATCGCAAGTGTGCTGTACGTACAAGAGCACATAGTCTCCCGACAAGCTCGAGCCGGTGATAAACGCACTTGGTCTGTGATCGAACTGACTCGTCGCTTTCCAGTATGTCTCGAAATCCGTGATCTCTAACGGCTTTCCTTGAAACGGCTTGATCACCTGAAAATTAAATGTGATCTGCCCAATAGCCCTCAGCCTTGGATCGAAGAGGGGCAAACAACAGCGCCCAGAGCTACTCATCAGAGCCCTAAATGTACTTGGCAGAGCAACAGTCTTCGCAATTACTCTAGCGCCGTATGTAGGAAAGACATCAAAATCAATGGCGAAGGAATCTAGGTTATCAATCTGGAAGGAAATGAGGCGGGTATCTTCCTGGAACGGGAGCAAAATATTCTTGGGTATCAAATCTGAGAGTTTCGAAGATATCGTAAGCCGAGCTGCGGGGTATTTACTGTCGTGGAAAAAGATCATTGGCTGATCACCATTCTCGTCGAAACTGATTTGGATGAAGGTCTTCGTGTCGAGGAAATTGTGACCGTAGCGTCTTAAAGGAATGATAGGGGGTGGAAGCTCAAGTTCTGGAATTGTATCGACGTCCAGGCACATTGCTATTGGCGCACTGCTAATATTCGGCCCGGCTGGCTGTGCTGTCTGGCGAGTAGAGCGACCATGGACAGGTATTGATGATAGAAGCTTCATGCATTCGAGGTGACCTTCCCAGACCGCATAATACATGGCGGAGAGCTCTTTCTCGTCCAGTATGTTGGTTTGGACGCCAACATGCAATAGAGTCTGCATGCAAGGTACGTTGCCTTCACTCGCGGCATGAAAGAGTGGGGTCCACGAGTACAGCTTGTCGATTTGGTCCAAGTTTGCGCCGTAGCTCTTCAGTAACAGAAGTAACTGCGGAGTTTGGCCTGAGCGAGCAACAAGATGCTGCGGATACAGACCTTCAGCGTCTGGCAGAATTTTGGCGCCGTGCTTCAATAGAAGTTCGACAATAGCTACGGAGCCGTGCTCACATGCCAAGTTCAACGGTACGTGGTCGGCGTCGGAAATGGGGTCGATCCGTGCGGATCTTGCCAGCAGTCTTTCTGCACATTCTAGGTGTCCGTGAATAATGGCGTGAATAAGAGGAGTGAAATTATCGTGATCGATGAGGTCGATAGTTGATAGATCCGCTAGGTGAAAATGAGCATTTGAGAAGCAAGGTTGAAATAGCGTGACCTACAATTCAGCAGATGTTCTACCATATCCAAGCGCCCATGCATACAAGCATAGTGTAGAGGAACTCGCCCGTATACATCCGTTCGATTTACGGCCACACCTTTGTCCAGTCCGATACCCAAAATGAACGAGTTTCCATATATGGTTGCTTGATGAAGACAATTCCGCTCGTTGATGTCATCTTCAGATTGCACATCAACTAGTCCGGTATCAAGAAGTAGCTGCAAGGATTGTTGCGGGCCCTCGTTGATTGCTGCGAGGAATGTTCTAGTAATCCGTTCCAAGAGGGCGATGTCTCGAGAGCCATTTGGATCTGCAGCTGTCTTCAATCGCAAGAGAAGGTCTTTGAGCGGCTCGAGATTGCCAGATATCACGGTTTCCAGTAGTAGCGTATCGGCATCACCCTCATCGGTACCTAGAAGATGTTGACTGCTGACAATGTGATCCGAGATTCTTTCAAAGCTAACATTATCTCCTTCTGACCAAGCTCCAAGCTCCTGTAGGCTAGTAGTGGCCTGATCTGATAATTCACTGATGACAGTCGCATTAAAGAACGGCTGAACCTCGACGGCGCGGGAGAGGTAGAGCTCTTTTGTCTTGGACTTGGAGGTCTTGTCCCATTTCTTCAAGATTTTAGAGAAGGCGGTCCCGTTGATTTCTACAAACTGTTGGAGCTTGTTGAGATCATTTCCAAATTGCTGGAATCCTTCCTCAAGAGTAGTGAACTTTGCGGATCTTCTGGATGCATTCTGGTTACGAGATTGAAGTACTTTCTTCTTGTCCAGCAGAGTTTTCAGCCGAATTTTGAGCTGCATCGGGTTTAACTACGGCGCTCCAAGGACATAGATGGAGCACCACATACCTCGGCTTCTTTCTGGAGGTAAAATGCATTGACTTTTTCAAGCTCACGTTCCTGTACAAGCGTTAGCATGGTGAGTTTGTGGGTGGGATAGGAAAGTCTATGCCGTTGCTGACCTACAAGTTGGAAGAAGAATTTTGCCTTATTTGCTTGCAGCGCGGATTGAGAATCGACAACGGTAGGCGGGCGATGAACATCATTCAGTGCCAGGATCGTCGGGGTCGCGGAAAGCTTCTTGATGAGCTGATAGCAAAGCATTAGCCCACATGCAGCATGCCTTGGGTCGGAATCGAGTTCATGTGGCCGTAACCAAGCAGTCTATGCTCTTGACTGCTGTTCGGGCGGACAGTAGATGTTCGGGACACCATACCTTCTTCAAGGCTTTGTAGTTGACGAAGCTGGCCGCGTACTCAGGGACCTCGAGCTGCCGTTTCTGGATCTGCTTTCCAAACTTCCTGAACAGAAAGAAACGTCAGCAAGCGAAGATTGACGGATGCTGGTGGTGGTGGTGGTGGTGGTGGTGCAAGTGCAGGAGACTGATGGCACTGGGACGTACATAATGCAGTATAAATATTGGCACGCTCAGATCCCGACAGGCCAGACCGAGACCGAGACCTGGAATGGTTCACGGCCCAGGTACGATACCTTTGAAATCGAGGTCAATCAAGGGCACAGAGTGAGCACTCTACCGTCGTTGAGTGGATCCAAGATCTGGAATGGGCGTCGAGAGTGACCAGACCAGACCAGCTTATGCTATTTATTGTGCGTGTACATGTACCTGTACCTCTACAGTGTGGTGGGCAGTGAGTGTAATTTGACGGCAGCTAATAAATGCTTTGGTCTTGAGCAGCCCGTGTACGGAGTAGTGGTGAGAGTGAGTGAGTGACTCGGGGATGCAGGGGGGGAAGGGGGGATGGGGGGCGGGAGCTCGAGGTCAAAGGAGAGGAGAGGAGAGGAGAGATAAAAGAAGAACGAAAAGTAATAACATACTTCTAGTAGAGCAAGTAGGTACGGTAGTACAGTATCGTCAGTAAAAGTCATAAGCAGCCAGCCAGCCAGCGAAGTCTTCACCTCGATTTTGATGGCCCTCGCCAGTCGCTTTGGCTTTGGCTTTGGCTTTGGCTTTGAGCCGCTCCCAACCCAATCAATCAGCCACGTGCTTAATGCAAGGCTACCGGTACGTACGTACGATGTGAGGCTGACCGCGGCTGGAGTCAGTCCCAGTGCCCGTGTCAGTGCCAGTACCAGTGCCAGTCCCCGTATCGGTATCAGCCAGCATGGAAAGTAGAATCACAAAGTACAACGTAGGTACAGATTAGGTGCAATGAATGTACCAAGGTGGAACGGGGCTCAGCAAATCTCGGTGGGTAGGGTATATCTTCTTCTATCATCCCACGCATACGTGTTGTCTGTCGTTGTTATTCGCGAAGAGAAAACCTCCGAATTTCAGTGTCGGGCTTTGATTGAAATTCAGACAGACATCCACAGTCTAAACACATTCCGAATTGTCAAGAATTTCCTAGGGAGGAAGAGTCACTATTCACTCCAAAGACGTAAGACGTTTTGGTAGAGAGATAGAAAGCATGGATATCATCAAATTCCGTGGGACCGTGAACAAGAATGCCTGGCTAAAACGCTAAACGACAACCCTCCCTCCTAAGCCCCACGTTCATGATTTCCCTGCCAACTTCTCACTGGCAACCTTGTCCTTAGTACCGGTCACCTCAGCAGCTTCGGGCTTTCGTGCTGGCTCGCTAATATTGTCAGACATAGCTTCAGCAGCCGCTTTCTTCAGCCTCTCTGCATCGTCCGTTCGAACTTCCTTGCCACCAACACGATCCTTGGTCTCCTTCTCATCCTCGCTATCTCCGAGACTGAATGGGTCGTTCTCGCTCTCGCCAATGGGGCTTGGGTCAACGGTGGACAGAGGTTGCCACTTGCTTTGCTTGCTGACGGGTGGGGTGTTCTCCTTGGTGCCTGGTCGCGGCGAAGCACTGTAGATATCAACCTCCTCTGGTGGTCCCCCTTGGAACGCAACCTTGCGGCTATCAGCAGACTTTGGAGCAGGAGGAGTAGGTTTGAAGAGGTCGGGGTTAGCAAGAGGGCGAGTAGAGCGTCGAGCGGGAGCTATGTTTGTTAGATGATTGACAGAAAGATCCTTGCAAAATGACTTACTACCATCACTATTCATCTGCATGCCAGCAAAGTCGTCACTAAGCACCTGAGGGTCTGCATCATAGCGATTGTAATCTCCACTCTGTCTTCCATCGTTGCTTCTCCGCGAGCGGTATGGAGCATTGGAAGGTCCAGGGATGTAGCCACCTTGTTGATGGGGGTTCTCATCCTCGTCGTCGCCATCGATTTTCTTCTTCAGAGTTGTGATCCAACTATTTACCTTGCTCTGCGTCTCCAGGAATCCCTTCCTCAAATTTTCCTTGATTATTGGCAAATCATCGTCAAGGAAATTGCGCTCCTCGGGCTGCTCATTTGGGCGTAGGCCAGTTTGCTGTCTGCGAGGCGCACCTCCTCGGCTTGTGCCTCTATGAGCCTCGCGACCACCTCCATAGTGTTCAGCAAGTTGGCGGGCGTATTTTTCGTCGGCTTCAAGTTGAGACTGCGGGGTAGATCCAGAATGAAGGGCGGAAGGACGGGGAGGCTGTGGGGGAGGTGTTGGCTCTCTCACTGCATCGGGGTCTGACATGCCTATGGAAAAAGTTCAGCAAGATGTTTACCAAAGTGTAGCAAGGTGTCCCAGATCGGCGTAGCATACCAAGCAAAGCATTGAAAGCTGGCTCAACACGTCCTCCACTGGCCGTCAAAACAGCTTTGACAACAGCTGCATCAATGCTCGGGAAAGCCTCTTTTAAAGTATTCTCTGCTTGCTGCTGAGCATCGAGAGGGCGGGGAGGCTTCGTTGGAGGTGCGTCCTCAACGGTGGGCTGTCTCCATGCTGCCGGTGTGTCATTGCTCAGAGCTCCTGACTCTGGAACATCGTCGTCGTCCATCTCTAGCGGTCGTACAGTTGTAGGAGATTCGGCTCCAGCTCCCGTTGCGGTCTTCAACTAAAGAGAGAGAATTGTGTCAGCGGGCTTTTGATGTATGATAAAGAAGGAACAATGCATGAATAGCAATGTGCTTTGAGTATCAGCTTACGGAGGGGTCTGTTGATCTCGTTGGTGCAGACATGGTGTTGACTTTTCGAAGCGGGCGAGTGTTAATCCTTCAAGAAAAACCAGCAGTGCTGAGAATAGATCGAATAGGACAACTCTGGTTGATGCTCAAATATTCGAGAACGGGAACATAAAGGAACTACCGTAGCTACAGTATGGTTGACAACCAACTTCCAAGGTCACTCCGGGGCGCCACACTGAGCCTTCTGTGGCTGAGTTTTATAGTTTCTTCACGTGTCGACGTGGGATATCTCGCTCGGTCATGCCCGATCCCGAATTAGATTCGCCCTGTCATGCCATGCCTGGTCATGATGCCATGCCCATCGCCCGCTAAGTATTGCAGCGTGGCACAAAATCATCATCTCCGCCCCGCTCCTGTTGGTGGGTGCTCAAAGTCACGTGCTCACTGCTAAAGCCCTGGTGGCATCAATTCTCTCCCCGGGTTAATTTGATTTTCAGTCTGGCACTCCCTTGGATGAGAGCCACGATAACGTCGAAACAGATTTCTGAGTCGACTTGCTTTCACAGATATTCCAAAATTGAGTAATACACGGCAGGCATCATCTCTTCCTGGGGCAAGGCGCTTCCGGCTGCCCGCCGGATGAGGCTCATCCCTACGATATACTCTACTTGCAAACTGTTGCTAACTCTGTTCTCTTCAGACTCCTACGTATTACATCCGTCAGTCATCAGAGAGGATAGATGTCAATCAGGCTCTTGCTTTCTGTCTCATTCGATCATTATCATGGAGCAAACAACAATCATCAATCTTACCCCGTGTCCTTATGGCTCTCTCTCTCAGAACCTGGTTACCGTTTACTAGCCTCCCCATGTCTCAGTACTTTCAATTATTTCGAGCTTTTCTCGTTCCAGCCACTCTCTTTCTTCCTCCAGGTGTAGCCTTAGGCTGCTTCTGAACTGCTACTGTTGGATTGGGTCAGGCACCGGAATTGGAGAGCGTCAATGAGTGGTTTCATGAGACGGGAAGTGAGAGCATCATCCTGAGACCAGTGTCAGGATGCGCCTGAACGCGGCGGACTTCAAATTGGAGGTTATGAGTCGCAGCACTCGATCCTACTCCAACTCTTAAACGGAATACAATGTATGGACACTATCCTAAGCCTCCCAAATCAAAGGAAATGCTCTCAATTTATTGCTGGTTGATAATAGTACGCCAAGGGCAGTAGAACTCGCTCGGGACATCTTGCCACGAAATCCACATCCCGATGATGAAAAGTTGACAAGATCTATTGGCACAATAACTATACCGGTAGTCCGATGTGAAACGTAAATAGAACGGTGTACCAAATTCAAGTACTTTTATATTTCCGATTGTACAAGCCGTGGTTTCGTTTGCTGGAAAGGGAAGGAGAACACAGGGTCCGCTTTAATAGAGTGCTGTTGTGGCGAGCTCTAGGTATCCGTACTAATACCGGTAAGTGTCATGGTCATCTGAATGTTTATCCGGCCGCCTTTATCTGTCACGACCTTCTTACCTTACTAGCCCCGCAATACACGCAACAACGTCAACAAACCAAAATAATTCTCAATCTACCTGGCTGCAGACTGGCAGCCAATCCTCTCCTGTTCGTTCCAGCCAGTCGACAGCCTTAATGGACTACCATTGGATCAGCTCCGTACCGCGCTGAGGAGGCTCTGTCCCCCTTCGCCTTGATTCTTTAGGGGAATGATGGCTGTGAAGCCTGGTCCGCAAGATGGCAGTTCGCAGGTCTCGCAGTCGAAAATGGGGAGCACGCAGATCCACTGGATGAAGCGCTACCGTACGGAACTGGCCGCGTCTACATCTAGTGTGCTATCCACTTTCGTAGCTGTGAGAGCGCCCTTTTGAATCTGCCACTAAGACGAGCAAAAGCTGATCAGATCTAGTTTCCATTGGACTCAGTGAAGACGCGTATGCAGACCTACAAATACAACAGCTTCGCCGATTGCGTTCGACGAACCTACAAAACTGAGAGTTATCGCGGTTTCTTCCGAGGGGTCACGGCACCAATGGCTAGCGTCACTGTGGTCCGAACGGTCTCCTTCTCTATGTACCAAAAATCAAAATACACATATGCTGGTTGGTTCAAGAGGAATTTCGGGGTAGACCCGCTGTTATATGTCAACACCCCAGGAAACTATCCGAATCTGGTCACCCTTGCATGCTTTGGAGCGGCTGGAGCTACAGCCGGATCTTTCATAACTTTGGTAGCTTGTCGGTTGGCCACTTAAACAGGGACTGTACTCAGCTAACATGGGCTCAGGTCCTTTCGAGTTGACCAAACTCAGTGCTCAGGTCTCGGTCCTTATGGCTGATCGCAATGCCTCCAGTGTCTCGGAACCTTCGACTGGGCGAAAGGTGGCAGCCAGCTATCAGAATAAGGGCACTTTCAAGACCGCTCAAAACATTGTGAAGCATCGTGGATTTGCTGGACTGTATTCAGGTTTCAACCTTCACTTGCGTAAGTATCTTGGCATCACCGCTGAATATCATACTGATAAGCAACAGTCAGAGACACTCTAGGCACATCAATTTACTTCATGACCTACGAAAGCAGCAAGCAACTCCTCACAACCTACCGGAAAGACAACTCAACGACAAATCCTTTTGCCGTTGTGGTCGCGGGCGGACTTTGCGGAGCTGCAAGTTGGGCCATGATCTACCCTATCGATTCGGCTAAGAGCATCTACCAACGAAATTGCCTCACACAATCCATAGGAGAGAAACCCAAAGAGGCACCGAAAATCCAGTTTTTCAACAAGAGAATGTACAGAGGTCTGGGCGTTAGCATGGGGCGATCATGCGTTGTCAACTCGATTTTTTTTTCTGCTTTTGAATTTACGAAAAAGAAAATCAATGCTATCGATGAGTAGTTTGGCCATCCGGAGTGTGCATTGCCATGGTGTTTGGCGGCGTTTTGCATCCAGCAGGTCTTTGAGGGCAGGGAGGATCAATGTGCCGGTCTGTAAGTAGGCAACTGAAGCAAGATTAAAGAGGATTTCGGAGAACTGAGGCGGTGGAGCTCGAAATGCAAGCAGTCTATTTCTAGTGTATGAGCGGAGTTCAATATACCAAAGATCAAACCAGGCCTCCCTCATTCATTCAGTCCATGGTCTCATGGAACACAAGACGAGCTGTTTCCAGTTGAAGTCCAGTCTGCTAACGAGGTATATCCAAATTTGGCCATATGATTCAATAGAAGCCGTGGGATTTTTCGGTACTTTATGAGACCCATGTGAACCTCGTTATATCAAGCCGGTTAGTGAATCAGCTTCTCTGACATTCGCAACTTCAGCTCGTATCATGTGACTTGCTCCGCGCTAATGGAAACTTACTTTGACGTCGCCTGACAACTTCGCCCGTGGACCCGAAACGTCTTAAATTCCCATCATCTATTTCCCTTTCCAAAGGACAGTCTACACCACGTATACTCTGCTGGTTGTCTTGAAGGATTTGTACTGTTTCGTACACAAACTAATCTTGAAAAGGCAGATATTTTGATGGTAAGAACGAAAATGCCGGGGAAGAAGAAGAAGCTCAAGCTGGCTGGGAAAGCTCGAGCTGCGAGCTCCAAGAACCCTCCAAGCCGCATTCATGTAGAAGAGCGTCGTGCTAGAAAGCTGGAGCGTCGGAAGAAAGAGAAGAAGTCGTTGGCACAGAACTGGGCAGCTCCGGCACCGTCGCACCTCGTTGCCAAATTGGATCTGCCTAAGCTTAAGTCGAAGCATCAGTCATATTTTGAGTTCGCCGACAATCCCGAAAGAAAACAGAAGAAGCTCGAGTTTGAGGTGGGTTATGGCGCATTCGATGCCGATAGCAGCTAACTCGCCATTTTAGATCACGAATAAGCCTCCACCACCTGGCTTCGCTTTCGTGCCCATTGGAGATCCGGTGTTGACCAAAGCATGCAAAGAGCTTTCAAGAGATAAAGATGCTATGATATTCATCGTCTCGGTAATCTGTCGCCCCCAAATGTACCGACTATGCTGATATATTTGCCAGGGTCACAAGCAGGCTGAAGAGAACTCGAAAATTGCCGAACACGTCCATCGCACAGGATACTACTTTCGTGAGACAATTGTTGAGGAGGCCAAGGCAGTCGCTGGTGAAACGCTTATTTCGAACTCGAATATCCCGCCCGGAACAGCAGAGCCAATTCCTGAGCTTCAGGAGGATATAAATAAGCAAGCAGATGCGGCTATACGAGATCTTTTCCCGCGGATACCCAATCCTGATCGAGTTATGATTATCGAACAATCATTTCAAAAGGTGTTACTACTCGAGTTCAACCTCAAGACTTGGCTAACTAAATATCCAGGGCGCCCTGTTCCACGGTGAGCCAACTGTTGGACTCCAGCGCGACATTCCGTTATCTCGTCGGGTCCAACTCGCAGTTCTGGCTCATATTAGACATACTCACACTAGATACGATAAACTCCTGCGAGAGACATCCTGGATGAATGCAAGAAAGGCCGTTGAGCCGGTCTGCTTGGATATTCTCATCAAATGGCGTGGAGATGAAGAGACTGGACGAGATCAAATGGACGAGATCCTCCGCGAGGTCGTCATTATTACAGACTCCGAGGATGACGGCAGCTCAGACGACGACAGTTCAGAGGAGGAAGGTGAAATTACTTCAGCTAACTCTTCAGAAACATCGTCTCCGCTGAGCTCCCAAGATCAATACAGAGTACCACTTCGCTCACCAAGAGATCAGAGTACCTGTGCTACAGCTTTTAGTCTCGGGAGAACTAACTCAGACGCAATATCTTCTCGCACCAGGGCCAAAGATACCAAGCAGAAGGAACAGCGCGGCTTCAAACGATATCAAGCAGCTTGGGAAGATGCCTTGAACAGACGACATGCCCTACGTATCGACAATAGATCTCCATATGATATCGCTGACACTCGAAGACTACGAATGATGACCGCGCAACCAGCACCTTTACCCTATCATCCTACAGCGGAAGCTTCTCAAACTGTAAGTGAATACATGGACAATTCGAGAATTCTTGGAAACACTGACCAAAGCAGAATCTTGCCTCCTCGCAGCATTGGCCGCCTGGGTCACTTGGTGAGGTAAATTTTTCTCACGCTCAACAGCCGGATTGCTTCCAGGACTTTAAATATCCAAGCAGTTCCCGCACTGCTGGATATCAATCTGCACCGCATCCATATTGGACTGCAGGGAATTCTCTACCCCAGATAGTCGGTGATCAACCGCCACAAGTTGTGACACGGTTGCCCCTAAAACATGGCCTTCAAGACTTCCTTGTGCCTTCTATTGAGGCGGCTTCGAGCGATGTCTCGTCTCCCCGCAAAGATGGGCGAAATGGCCCTGGCGCCAATGATGGCTCTCGAGTGGTTGACCACAGAGCCCCGACACGTTCTCTCCGTCAAGTGATTGTCATCGATGATGACAGTCCTCAGGCAAAACGTCGTCGATTGGTTCGGGAAGATGATGCTGGTAATTCCAGGCACATTCCACCTCTTGACTATATTGCCTACCCCTCAAATTCTTATCCTGATGCTTTGACGTTGAAACCGAGATCTTCTGTCCAATCCGGTGCATGGGAATCCAGTTCCGTTTTTCGAAATCTGAGAGCATCGGCGCAGCCTACCCAAGGTATGTCAAGGGATACTCAGAGTTTCTATACAGACCCAGCTACTGGAGAACAACTTCCCATATACGATGCTCCAGAATCTGGTCGTCTTGCAACGCATCCAAAATATGTTGGAAGAACTGATGGCGGATCATTTCCTCCTCGCAGAGAAGATGATTTTGATATGCGGCGAGTTGGTCATAGCCGACCACCTTATGATCTCCATCACCAAAGACCAGTAGACATGCACAGTAGTAGTGACGTACCAGGTCCCAATGTGCCGGGAGGTGTTCGTCAACCTGAACTTTACAACTCTATAAACCATGTGGCGTCGTCGTTCTCAGGAATTTCTACATCCTATCAACCATCTCGCTCGTATGAACCGGGTCCTGTTTCGGTTGGGCCAAACCAGGCTTTCATTCAAAGTTTTTCTCAATCCAATCTTGGTGGGTTCAGTTCAAATGCAAGATATGGTCTCAATGTCGCCCCTGTGAGGCCTCAGCAGAGATCTATTGGCCAAGGCAACTTTGAAAGCCATCAGGAGAGTTCAGCGCGAGGAGCATCTCCAGTCAGATACATGGAGAGACCAACGTAAGCCTGTGGGTGTTAGTCTAATTTTTAAGATACTGACGTACCGCTGGATGTAGGCAATATCGAGAACCACAGCAGCGGCCTGTTTACTCCCCTCTCTCCTCGGGCTTTCACGCTGCCGGAATGGATGAGCCAGAAGGCTACCCACCGGACAACCACCCAGGTTTCCTAGGAGAAGAGCCGAAATATCCTCGGACTATCTCGGCAGGACGACAGATAATATATCTTGAGTGAGAGTAATGGACGTGAGAATCTTGTTATGAGAGCGAGTTTGATACAATGTATCCGATACTTTCGGAGTGAAACGCACGGCGCAGTCCCAGGAAAGGATACATGGCCCGGTGCCCATGCTAGTATTGGTATCATTCCGGATGCTTGTACGAATTATTGATGGATTTACAAGTGGAAGATGGAGCTTCAGTTTTATACCCTGGGCCGGCATTTTCGACGAGCGTAGAGTACGGAAACATGGGAAGCATTGGAGTTTTATTGGGCGCTGGACAACTGTATCACATCAGGAGAGAAAACCACTTGGTTTGGAGTAGATTTGAATCACCAGGTGAAGGGGTGCATCGTCTCATGGTGACTTGTGAAGAATGGGAGGGAGCATGAGCAGTGTATACATGGAAATCTTTGGTATCGAACAAGTGCCTGTGGCTATGAAACTTCTGTCGCTCACACGTAAGCAATTAAAATGTTTGGTTACTGAAAGAGTCCCAGATCCCGGAAGGAAGTACCAGTTTATGTCTCTGATGATGATGTTGGATTAATGAATCTAGGGTATTGAACTTCGTAAAACTGCATGTATGCCTCCATGAAACGCCTCACAATTCCTCTACGGAACCGAATCTTACGCCAACATAGCCACTCGTTGCTGTTCCTCCCTTTCCTGTTGCCTGATCTTCGCCCTCTCCTTCTGAGGCAAATCCGTAGTAGGCACCTCTGGTAAAGGAACTCCGGTGACCTCCGCTTCCAGCGCTGCCAATTCATCTTCCACTTCATCCTCGTCCTGGTTTGATATCCGCCCACCTAGCATGTCACTCACCTCCTAATAAATTGTCAGACGTTTTCCACCACGGCCCAGTGAAGACTTTACAGACCTGTTGATATGCGATTGCATCTGCCGTCTCCCCCATAAGTTTCTCCACATGCTCTATCCCTCCCATCTCCTTATGTATCTCCTGCAAAACGCTTGTCCCTTGCTTCAATCCAAACACCACATCCTTCTGCACCAACGCAAACTCTACGCTGCTGGTCAGCTTCTCAAGCTGCTCTAGTTGCGCATCCGTCTTCTCCAGTAAGGACTCCTGGTATTTCTTCCGCCGTAACGCTAACAAGGCTTTGGGTTTATCCCCCTTGGCCAGCATCTGCTTCGCTATCTCCTTTTCTCGATCCGTGAGGACTACTATACGCCGCTGGTACTGGTGTAATTTGTCCCGCTGGTTCTTCATGTCCAGAATCGCCCTATAGTCCTGTCAACCAAGCCCCATGGAGGCACAATGAGAAGAGCCTAACTTGTCTTGGGCAGAGATCTTGGTCGAACTTGAAGTATTTCCCATGTTGATTGGCTTCCTAACAGTAATATCTATGAGGAAGACATGGCACAGAACTGCAAGCGTGTAAATGGAATCGCCGCTTCCTCGGCTGTGGTCAAGCTTGCGATAAGCGATAAGGAAATGGCGGCTAGCGACTCCTCAATTTATTTTTTTATCTCGTTCGGATTCAACAATCAACAAGTTCGCGACTCGTTCCAGTAGGAATCGCAATCAACGGCTGCAGACATGAAGGCCTCACACGGTCCAAGGCTGACCTTAACACGGGCGCTGGATAAGGAGGTACTTGCCCAACTTTGGCAACGAGCAATGTGAATTGGTGCTGATCCCCACTAGGTTTACCAGGTCGTGCAGAAATTGGTAGATGAGCAGGCGCGATACGAGACTGGCGGGAAGAAACTCTCAGCATCGGCGGTCTATGACAGTATCAAGCGATCGAATTCAAGCCTGAAGCGCAGAAGTAAAAAGCCGCTTGAGGATTCCATCGATCGAGTTCTTCTGGTAATCAGGCAGCAACAAGACGACAGCGACTCTTTGGATGGGGAGTTTGACGGGATAGAGGAATCCCAGCCACCCTTGAAGGAACACAATATCATGAATAGGAGCATCACTCGAATGTGGGCTAAGCCGGCACCTGGGAGCATGACGCCAGCCAGAGATGAAACCTCTCCACCGAATGGAACTCTTATCCCGAGCTTTCCAATCCAGACCATATCAGCCGAAATCGAGTCTCCGGTCAAGGCAGACAGACAAGCAGATGGAGAGCCTAGTAAAAAACGAAAGAAGCCTGACACAAAGAAGGAAGTTGACCGGTCCCCGCCAACTGATGTCTCGTTGGAAAACCTGGGTGGGGTGGAACATGTCATCAAGGAACTGAAGGACTTGGTTGGTATTCCTATGTTGTTCGCCGAGGGCTACATAAAGACAGGAATTCAACCGACGAGAGGTGTGCTGCTGCATGGGCCACCTGGTTGCGGTAAGACGATGATTGCCAATGCCTTTGCGGCGGAAATAGAAGTGTCGTTTATACCAATCTCGGCACCTTCTCTGGTGGCAGGAATGTCTGGAGAATCAGAAAAGAAGATTAGAGATCTTTTCGATGAGGCGAAACGAATGGCACCATGCCTCGTCTTTATAGACGAAATCGATGTTATTATGGGAAAGCGAGAAAGTGCACAGAGGGAGATGGAGAAACGAATAGTGGCACAAATGCTCACATGCATGGATGACATGGCGCTGGAAAAGACTGGTGGAAAGCCTGTAATCATCCTGGCAGCTACGAACCGTCCTGATAGCCTCGATCCTGCTCTTCGAAGAGCTGGAAGATTCAACAAAGAAATCAACCTAGGCGTCCCGAATGAGGAAGCTAGAGAGAAGATTTTGAGGGCATTGACGAAGAAACTTACTGTGTCTGATGGTGTCGACCACAGCCAGCTCGCTAAGCTTACTCCTGGATTTGTGGGAGCTGACCTCAACGATGTTGTCTCGGTAGCCGGAACAGAAGCCATGAAGCGTATGAATGCTGTCCTAACAGAACGGAGCGTCACAGCTATGGACATCGATACAATATCCCCAGCTTCAGACATCCCATCTTCACTGGTAGAACTTCGTGCTCTGGTAGCGGCATCCAAAGCTGGGAAACTATTACCCGATGGTGATTTCTCAATCACTTACGAAGATTTCCTTACCGCGATCACCAAAGTCCAACCTTCGGCTAAACGAGAAGGCTTCGCAACCATTCCCGATACGACTTGGGCGCACGTTGGTGCTCTGCACGAAGTCCGCGAACAGCTCGAAATGACAATCGTGGACCCCATCCAAAACCCTGAAAGATTCGCCCGTGTCGGTATCACAATGCCCGCCGGCGTTCTCCTGTGGGGGCCCCCTGGGTGCGGAAAGACTCTTCTTGCCAAAGCCGTCGCCAATGAATCCAAAGCCAACTTCATTTCCATCAAAGGACCCGAACTGCTCAACAAATACGTCGGAGAATCCGAACGAGCTGTTCGCCAAGTCTTCGAACGTGCTCGATCTTCAGTGCCATGCATTCTGTTTTTCGATGAATTGGATGCCTTAGTGCCGAAGAGAGAGGATTCCTTGTCCGAGGCTAGTAGTAAAGTCGTCAATACTCTTCTTACGGAGCTGGACGGGTTGGGAAGCAGAACAGGTATCTACGTGATCGCTGCGACGAACAGACCGGATATGATCGACCCCGCCATGCTGCGGCCCGGCCGTCTAGGTCTCTCTGTCTTCATCGACCTTCCCACGAAGGAAGATCGCGTCGAAATTCTTAAAGCTCTCTACGTCAAAGCTCTTGCCGATTCCACTGTGGAAGAAGTAGACGCTTTAAAGGAAGTGGCCGAGGATGACAGATGCACGAATTACAGCGGCGCCGACCTGTGGAATCTGCAACAAGCAGCTGGCCATGCTGCAATTCGGAGAGAGAAGCATGCAGGCGTTGTGACGGAGAATTTGAGGATTGCGAGGGAGGATTGGGAGGTTGCGCTGGGGAAGGTAAAACCTAGTGTTAAGGATGCGGCGAAGTATCGGAGGCTGAAGGAGAGGGGGATGCAGGGTTGAGATAGACCTTTTGAGTAGTGGATGGAAATACGCTTGAATGGTGTCTGATCAGGATGTGTTGCGGTGAGGCGATGTCCAGAAGAAGCTCAATGGTTCGACCGATATTCCAGTCCGGGGCGAGATTTTCGAGGGTATCAAAAGTTAATGTTTAATAAAAGCGAATGTTTAAAAAATCTTCGAAACCTATCAAGTTGCGGGATCGATATGAGAAGAGATTCTCACATCGATCGAAGGATACACGCTGGCCATGTGCAAGAGGGGAGTTTCAACTACCAAGATTCGCACTTATCCGTCCTTCAGGACACCATCACCTCACACTTTTTATTTTCTTAGCAAAAGATCAGCAAAAGATTGCATGAATTAGTGACTATTGCCTGGTACCAACCCAGGCTTTCCAAGCTTGCGTATGGTAGAGCGGACTAGTATTTCTTGTTGAAACCCTGAGATCACACAGGCGAGATGTGAAAATCACTTGGGTATATATGGGAGAAGGCGTGTCACGACTTTCCTTCGTCTCTTTGATGAGCCTCGACGCCTATTCCCTACACTCAGAACGCCCGTCCCTATCCAAATATTTCCCATATTCCTTGGTGAGGGCAGGACTTCTCCAAAGTACGTCCGGAATGAGCAAATTTTCAACCAGCTGAGCCAGTCAGCATATTCTCAGTCTTGAAAGCCTTGGGGGCTCAATCAACACACCATACACATCCTCGAGGTCGTCAGGTCTGACCGGTCGCGGCGGGATTCTTTCGGGGGAAGGTGCAAGGCCGAGGGGGTGAAGCTCTTTCTCTATCTCGTAAGTCGCGACAATCTCTTTCCATTCGTCAATGACTTTCCAGTACGCCTCCCATTTGGGGATTTCCATATTTTTAGAGCGAGCGATCTTGCGCTTGGTATCTCGTGTTAACTTGGTGTAGCGGGCTCGCAACTTTTGGGTTTCATAGTGTTTTGCTTCGAGAGCGGCGCCGTATTCTTGGAGTGTGGGTTTTTTCTTCGCCATGGTGTTGTCTGAGGTGTGATTCGATGCGAGTTGCTTGGGCTGAGGTCTGCAAGATGTACTGGGTCTTGGGCAAGTTGAGTATAACCCGATGTCAACATGACGTGCGTGAAGACAGTCCGTCCTCAGCAACCGAGTCGACTTTTACAGATTCAGTAGTTCCAATGGAAGCTGAACGGTTGTTCAGCGGTACGCAGAACGCTCGAATCAAATCAGGTGCTGTCGATGACCGTTGATGTTTCGCTCAACTGGTGGGTCAGATGCACCTCGAAATTCTTTCTTCTCCCTCTGGCTCTCCGATTAATGTTTTCCCAGTCAGTCTTCCAGTTCATAATACTTTCGTCAAGTTCTTGATCTTCATGAAGGTGAATGCAACCCACACACTGGGCTTGAATCGATTGCAGCTGAATACGGAGAAACTTGAGCTCGGACTGGTTCGACTGGAAATCGTCCTCCCTGTGTATGGTTAGACCTTGCGAATAGTGGATACTGACTGGAAGCGAAATTGTCTACATTTCTGCAATGCGGTATTCCAGCAATAGAGTATGTTTGGCGGCCTTCTCATTCTGGTTGACCAAGAGGTCATGGATTCTCTGTCACATATCAATGACCCCTTGTGTACTACACTGTGAGTTTTAATGCTTACTTTGAATTCGACCTTCCTTTCTTGAAGCTCGACAACAGTTGTTGATAATCTCGAAGCCAAGTCCTCGGCAGCTTGAGCCAATTTGGCGGTATTGTTTGGTGTATTATTCGAAACTCCGGGATTCATGCCATCTTCAAAATGAGGTTTTGTAGACACGGTTGTATTCTCTATCTCGAGAATTCGGTTCGGAGCTGGGTGTCCCAGTAAGCCGTCTTCTCGCGGGATATTCAATGATAGCTTGCAGAGAGGTTGGCTTGGTCTTTTAATCTCAACACGACTGACAAGAATCTCGATTTTGTCGACTTGGGAATGGATAGTGGAGATAGCCCGATGCTTGAGCGAGCCAACGCTCGAAAGCCTGAGAACCAAACGGTTGAGCCGGTCGATGAGAGCATGTTTGCTGTCTTGGGTAAGATCCTCGTTTGGTGTTTCCCGTGACGACATATTGGTTGGCAAACTGATGAGCTGGCGATGGATGCAGCACGGACAGACGAGAAGATGCGGAAGAGGGAGAGATGCCCAATTGATGGGATGGATGGTCTACAGGTTAATTAGGTGGTTGGGCTGGCAAAGTAAATGTATACCTGAGGTAGCGGGCGACAGCAACAGGTGCCACAAAGAGAGCATTTCATGCCCGGGCAGGCACCTGGAAAGCCACCCAAATACTTTCAATTTGAGCGAGGCTGATGAACAAGTTCACGGGCAGAGAAGCCGATGTGCTGTAGTGGTCAGGGCGCGTCGCCGTCACCATCGCCGTCGCAGCCGCGTCGTTCGTGAGCCGACAATATAAACAGAAAAGTACTGACGGAGTTATGATCCTTACCTAGCTAGTGCGGGGCTGATCTAGCGCCAAGTATACTGCCGCCAGGCGGTGAGGCAGTGACTGCCATGTGGTCGTGGAATATATTTTCGTAGCCTTCCTTTACATGTCGCTTCTACTCGCAACACGAACATCTTTCGAATCCACAGTCACTACACTTTCTCAGTTACAATGGGCGAGGGCGTAAGTTGTATCCGTATGACTCTGGTGTATACGAAGTCTTGGAACGCTAATTGTTGCTTAGGAAGAGCTTCAACCCTCTCTGGAGACGGTCAGGCAAATCCTCCTGAAGGACACCGGCACCCCAAACCCTCCCAATCTGGTTCCTGTCTTTGCAGAAATACCATCCGACCTTATCAAACCCTCACAAGCATACCTCAAGATATCGGCCTATTCGAAGTCCGACTATTCCTTTCTCTTCGAGAGTGCCGCTACAGAGAAAGCCGGAAGATTTAGTTTTGTTGGCGCTGGCCCCCGCAAGATCATCAAGACAGGAGAAGGTCACGGCGAATCCGTCGATCCGTTGCCTCTTCTCGAGGCGGAATTGTCGAAGACTCGGGTCGCACATGTACCAAAGCTGAACTTGCCGCCCTTGACTGGCGGAGCCATTGGATATGTGGGATACGACTGCGTACGATACTTCGAACCCAAGACGGCCAGACCCATGGAAGATGTACTTAAAGTACCCGAGTCACTTTTCATGCTGTTCGATACCATTGTGTCTTTTGATGGGTTCTTTGAGAAGATCAAGGTGATCACATATCTGAAAGTTCCGAATGACTTGTCCAAGCTCGAAGAAGCCTATGAGCAAGCAGGCAAGACCATCAACGAGATTGTGGATGTCTTGCTGAACGAGAAACTACCTCTCCCTGAGCAGCCCCCAATCAAGTTGGGTCAAAAGGCTACTTCCAATATTGGACAAGCTGGCTACGAGAAGCACGTCACAGATCTGAAGAAACATATCATTGCTGGTGATATCATTCAGGCTGTCCCTTCTCAACGATTCTCACGCCCTACCTCCCTCCACCCTTTTAATATATACCGACATCTCCGGACTGTGAATCCATCTCCGTACCTATTTTACATCAACTGCGCAGACTTCCAAATTGTTGGTGCCTCACCTGAACTTCTTGTGAAGAAAGAAGAAGGTCGTGTCATAACTCATCCGATCGCTGGAACGGTGAAAAGAGGGGAGACCCCCGAAGAAGATGAAGCGCTTGCTGAAGAACTTAGGCAGTCGCTCAAGGATAGGGCTGAACACGTCATGCTGGTAGACCTTGCAAGGAACGACATCAACCGTGTCTGCGATCCTTTGACCACTAAAGTTGATCGATTAATGGTTGTGCAGAAGTTCAGCCACGTGCAACATTTGGTATCCCAAGTCTCTGGAGTACTGAGGAAGGGGATGACTAGATTCGATGCCTTCAGATCCATATTCCCTGCCGGTACTGTCTCTGGGGCTCCAAAAGTCAAGGCAATGGAACTCATTGCAGAACTGGAGAAGGAGAAGCGTGGGGTCTATGCTGGGGCTGTCGGGTACTTTGGATATGCCTCTGTTGATGCAGATGGCAATGAGGTCGAGGGTGAGATGGATACATGCATTGCACTAAGGACGATGGTCGTGAAGGACGGCGTCGCATATTTACAAGCTGGTTTGTCTCTTTCCTCGTGCGTGTTGAATACATGAGCTCAAAAGCTAACTGTCAATTAAGGCGGTGGAATCGTCTTTGACTCGGACCCTTACGATGAATACATTGAGACGATCAACAAACTCAAGTCAAACTCGACGACACTCGAAAAGGCTGAGCAACGCTACTCAAAAATGCAGTCCAAAGACAAGACCAATGGAGCCATGAAAGCAGCCCATATCGATCTAGCGGCTGATAATTCTTGAAGTAATGAATTGAATGCGTACGCCGACACTTGGATTCATGCATCACATACGGAATTATGAGTAGCCGACCGCGCGGGAATGAACAATGCTACTGCAAGGTTATCTTAGTCGATTCAGAGTTTCATCCCATCCCCAAAGTTGGGAACTACCAGAGCCTGGTGTTTCAGTTACTTCTACTCTAATTCAACCCAAGTTCACTCAAGACCTGGTCGAGCTGACCATGCGTTATGAGGTTATGTCACCAGCCTTTATCTAGGATCTAAGAGCTTGGACGAAGAGAAGATAAGGCTTTTCCATCAATCCCCCAAGATCTTTGATAATACCGCTTCACCCTTCTCCTTAATCAATACCTTTTCCACACCGCGTCGACCTCCCCAACTTCCCCAGAAAAATCAGGCGCGCTCGGTGAAGACTGTCGCAGGTGTGCTCTACGCTCTTCCCTGCGCGTTACATCGTCCCTTTCTCTCATTGTAATGGATAACGGTCCAAACAAGGATGTGGTGTCTCGTCATCAATGCATTATTACCCGAATAGCACAATTTCACTCATGGAACTGTAACAAACACCGCGATTTCCTGGTCAGCTTTCAATATGCTCGCAAATGCGGCTACAGCATGAAAGGATAATTTCGCGGGATATTGCCGTTGGTGGAAGTTTGCGAGCGCGTGAGTCGTCTTTTCCTACTCTGGATTATCCCCAGCTTTTCATAAATATGTCCAAATTCCCCACCGATTGTTGGCTTCGTCAACCACCTCTCCATCTGAGCCTCATCGCCACTATTAATACCTCTCCCACTTTCTTTGACAAATACAGCCGCAATGTAAGCAGCCAACGTGGAAATACCCCCTCCTCAACACATCCTTACCTTCCTCGACCAATACTAACACCCGCTTCTCCCCCAGGGCCGACGTAGCTTCCACAGCCGATAACACCCCCCTCGCTGCAACCAAATCCCCAACCCCAGCCACCGGACGCCCCGCAACTTCGGGTACGGAGCTGAACCTCCGGACCGACCGGCAGAAGGCGCAGACCTCGTACCAACGGGCCGCGCAAGCCGAGCAGGCGTACCGAGCCAAGCGCAGGGCGACCTACGCCCGCAAAGATATCAAGTCCGCCGGCGAGCACTTCTCCGCGTCGGCTACGAGCTTCCGGGAGGGATGCAAGTGTGCGTGGAGCGCGTTGCTCGCTGGGCCCGCCGTTGTGAAGGAGAAGCAGGTGAAGCGGCGCGAGGAGGGTGCGGAGAAGAAGAGGAACGTGGCTGAGGCTGTAGGTTATTTTGGCTCTTAACTTCTTCCCGGTGCTCTTTCTCCTTCTTTCTATCTTCTCTCGTCTTATCTTTTCTTTTCTTTTCTTCTTTTATCGTTCTCTTGCTGGTTATCGATTTCAGTGTGTGTATTCTTGCTGTTTGTCTGAGGGCATGGATCTGAACTGAACTGAATTGAGCTGACCTTTCACGACAGAAGAAGAAGAAGTGGGAAGAAAAGGCCAAGAAGAACGAGGACTCGGAGTCCCCCGCCGCCCCCGCTGAAGCCACTCCCGCCGCTGAAGCTACTCCTGCCACTGAAGCCACTCCTGCCGCTGAGGAGACTCCTGCCGCAGCTACCGCTTGAAGACCAAAGTCCCCCTTGCAATGTCTTCGAAGACTCAAGAGCAGGAACGCGTCCTTTGTGGAGGAAGGTGGCTTCGTGCGCGTAATCTACGGGCGTTGATATGACTAAGGACTCTGGGGTCAGGTGCGATGGGAGTGTGATTGGGTGAGAGGATGTATTTTGCGGTTGCGCATGTTATGATTATAGTTAGGGGGGTTTTTTTTCTTCTGATGCGAGATGATTTCCAGCTTCAGACCCGGGGAAAGAGGCCAAGAGGATGATGGGGCCAACTGGCGTGGAGATGTTGAAGCTTTTTTTTTTCCTTTTTCCTTTGTCTTTTGTTTTTCTCTTTTGCGGGGCTATCTACCTACATCCATACCCATATGCTTTTATTTTCCTTCATCGGTTGTGCTTTTGTTCTATGTTTTGTTTTGACGGGTTAGAATTTAGAACGTGGAATTAGGCGAGATAGACAACCCAAAAATTACTGCTGTTATGAGTTTGCTGTATAGGTCATATTGTGCTCGTCTTATCTTACCTTTCCTTTGTATCTAAGCATTCATTCATGTTATCTCACAATACTTTGTCCCAGGACACATCGCGAGGCAAAAGGCGTGGTGGCTCTGTGACGGAGCTAGATTCACTCGGTGGACTCGCTCGATCGCTTCTGCGAGATGTAAGCAATCCACATGCAAGTGACTAACTTGGCAGGTGCTCGGCCGCTGTAGATCGAAAATTCCCATGCGTATTGACGCAGAAGGAAGGAAAGGCATATACAGCACTGTGATTCTGAATGCCTGATGTCCTGCTCTGGAATAGAATTCACGTATGTTTAGCGTAGATTTAGCGTAGATTTTATACTGACTGTAGATCGAACTGCAATTGCAGGGAAACTCCATATGTAGGTATGCATGTAGTTGCATGATCCACTGCTGCCGACCCCTTCCACCGGGCAATACTGGATGCATTTCACAATATTCTGCATAGTCCTGCCCCGGCATCCGTCCTTTCTACTTTCTTTTCCTCTCCTCTCTCCTTCAAACCCCCCTTCCCTCCCATCGTGCTTCGTTTTTCGCATAAGTTTGCTTCAATCGCTCTCCGACTCCCATTTTGCCGCCCCTGCATATCACAATCAACTCTTGCTTCGTGGCTGTCAGATCAGATATTAGCCTCCCCCATCGCCTCCCCTTCAAAGCCCAACGCCCTCAACTTCCCATTCTGGAACTTCTCCCTCCTCGCCTCCCTCGCCTTCCTCTCCTTGCTCAGGCGGTGTATGAGCTCCACATCCGCCTTCTCGTAGCCCGGCGGCGGGTCATCGTCCTTGTCCAGGTCAATTTCTCCTAGTAGCAGTACGTTCTCGCCACGCACGAAGAAGATGCCGCGGGGTACGTCGGCGTATAGGCCCGGCTGGTATTCATTGCCTGGTTTTGTGGGTGTGGAGGAGGGGGGTACGAATATGCGTTCGATGGTCGATTGGAGGACGAGGTTTGCTTGGGGGGTTATGAGTTAGTTGATGTGTGTCTGTGGGGGGAGGAGAAGAGGAGGTACCAAATTGGTCCCAGCTGCGCAGCACGCCAATCAGTTTCCTGCCGTCGCGGAGGGCTACCATGAGTTTTTCTGCGGGTTAATCAGCCTTCTGCTTCTTATCCATTCTCAAGGTGTGAAGTGAAATGAGAATCGCATTTTGAAAGGGTCAGAGAACGGCGGGAAAATTCAAGTACGCAGCCTCGAATGCATGAGCAATTGGAATATCCTTACTGTCCGTCATATCAAGCAGCTGTGCGGCTGTGGTGAACATCTGCGGTGGCAATTGCTGGTTGGACGGCGACGGGCCCAGCGAGGGCTGTTCGTCCAGAGTCAGGTTCTCCATCTTGGCTTCGGTCCCTTGTATCTTGTATCAAGTGGAAAGCGGACCGTAGGGAGAGGCGGGGAGAGACTATTGGTAGCAGTTGTAATTCGTCTGGGCCATTACGCGGTTTGGGTTGTGGAGGATGAGGGAGAGCAGAGAGGGACGCGATTCTTGTGAAAGTGACGATATGACGGTGTGGGGCGATTGATGAGGTGAAGCTTTGATAGATTCACGATATGGTAATTAGTGAAGCGGATAGCGGATTGTCGACGTTAGGGTTTGGAGCTTGTAATCAGGTGTTATTGTTACTGTTAGTCTTGTAGGAGGAAGGAAAATGTCTTTGGATCAGGTAGGTATAGTAGGTAAAGAGGTTAACCTTAACCGGTAGGGAGAGTTGGCATCCCCTAATAAGTCGCTTAATCTTCAAGTCAATATGGCATTTCATCACTGTCGAGTTCCAAGTACAATTTTAGAGCCGATGATGTGATTATTGACTGTATACTACCCGTGCTTCGACTGGGTCTACTCCGTACAGCCATTACTTCAGTGATGCAATCCTACCTAAATCTAGAAGCTCAATCCATCCTAATCGTGGACCCATCCAGCTTCGGAATACACGCCGCATCGCAGTCCCGATCATTATATCCATTAACCTGTACCGAGCGGGGCCAACGACGCCTGGCAGTGCAACAGCAATAGAAGAAATGACACAAGAAAATTACCCATGCGTAGGGATTGCCTTGGCGCGATGGGGAAGTATAGCAATAGAATAGTGGCTGCAAAGTCCGTAGGTACCAGCGGGGAGCGGTGGAGGAGATCACAGTGGAAATCCATTCCTTCTTGATTGTCTTCTATGCAGTGGAAGGAAGCAACAGTTCTGACTCAAGAAATCAAAAGAAAATCCCACGCCCTCGTGTGGAATGACCAGTAAACCAAAGAAACTGGCTGGAATTTTCACCGCAACTTCTCCTTTTAGGAGGGGTGATGTCAACCACGGTGTCTAATGCTCGATCATAGCTGGCTGGTATATGTTGCTTCGTCCAAGTGTTGCACATTGAAGCCAGTCTGTTTTTCTTCTTTTTTTTTTAGATATTTTCGAGTAGGAAAACGACTGCTAATCGCCGCGTGACTGAGACCGGACTTAGGCCGACAGGCTACTGGATGATCGTGGAGCGTTTGAGGGCCTCCAGCAATTCCGGGCGAGCCTTAAGCGCTTCAGAAGCCTCGGCGAAGTTTGCCCACTGCCGTGTTCTCTTGTGCTTCTCCGGCCATTCTGCCTCCTCACTTGTAACGGTGACCTGAAAGAAATGGTAGAGCGCCTTGGGAGCCTCCTTGGACATTTGCTTCGGGGGCCGGGTCTCTTTGATCTGTCCAAGATCGTAGTCGACCTTGCAGATAATTCCGGCCTCTTCCCAGGCTTCGCGCGTCGCAGCCTCGGTACTTGTCTCGTCGGATTCCCAGCCGCCCTTTGGCAGAACCCATCCGGTGCGCCGAGTCGACTGGATCAAGAGGACGTGTGTCTTGGCCGCATTGAGAGGGACCACACCTGCCACGAGTCGTTCTCCGCTGTCAGCGTAACCTGAAGGACGGACAGGTGGTCAGCGAGGTCTCGTCTTGGGTATAGGAAGGGCTCAGAAGAAATTCGCTGGGACCACCTGTGCGCCCGCCTCAGGAATGATTTCTGCGGGAATTGAATACTCACGTTGCTTGCTCCGACCAACTCTCGACTCCATCGAACGACTTGCCGCCATGGTGAAGGCAAAGAGATGCTTGACCTTTCGTGTAGTGTGAGCACTCCAATACAAGGACACGGTCACAAGGCGGATAAGAGGATCGATGAGGATTCGACTGGACTGAGCTAGGCTAGTCTGAACTGGACTGGACTGGACTGGACTGGACTGGACTGGACTGAACTGAACTAGAATGAACTTCTTTAGGTGAAGTTCGGCTGCGGGAGGTAGCCTCTTTAGAATTGTTCCGTCATGACTGAGGTGAGGTAGTGGGGGTGGAGTATGAATTTAGACGGGCGGACAGTGAATAATGTGCGACGACGACAATATGGATCAGATGAGAGAGGTAGGCTGGGTGGAGGTTGTAAGAGAAAGAGGAGAGGAGAGGGAAAACGGGTAGAGGGGAGAAGGGAGAAGGGAAGAAGGAAAAAGAAAAGAGGGCGTGGGGAGAGCGAAGAGAGGGCGAAGAGGCAAACAGGGTGCTCCGTCGGTGGTAGGAGGTGGAGGTGGAGGTGGAGGTGGAGGTAGAAAGAGATATCTTGTGGTGGACAGGGCCCGGTTACCAGCTACCGGTACACATACGCCATTTAGGTGGCCAATTATACTGCTGTGGGTAGGTAGATACTCTAGGTAACTTTCGTACTTTAATTAATGGGATAATTTTAGTTCTTGATGAAAATGACGATCTCTCCCGTGGTTCTTCGTAGATAGACGCTAGGTCCTTACATGATTCAACGCCCGTCTTTGGTAATATGTGAAATATATATATATATATGTGTGTGTGTATGCATATATATATAAAAACTTGAGCCAACCAGGACCAAGCGAGTTCGAGGGTCTGGATAGGTATTTGCTCTGTTCGACCTATTGCTGCTCGATCTAGGTATTTTACCTCGGGATCTCTTTCGATTTCTCTCTGCCCTGCTCTGCTTCATTGCAGCCTCAACTACTTCTCGAGCTTCCCCCGCCCGCCGCCTCACAACAACAACAACAACCTACCTAGCATTCCAAATCCACCATCGACTACTTCGACCGTACCAGACCCATAAGCCTACACACAAGCCATCCTAGGATACCCGACCCAAGCCAACCGCCTCGAGCCCGGCGGCCTCTCTAGATCTGCTCTGCCTGTAGCCTGTATATCCTTTTCTACCTCACTTGTACTCTCGTTTCTCGAGCAGAGTCGATCAAAGCGCAAATCACCAACCCCCATCTATCTCATCAACCCCACAACCAAAGCCGCCGCTGTCGGATCCGATCACTCCCTACTCTACTGTACTCTCTGGAAGCACGGCACTTCTACTGCAAGTACCTTCCCTGCAGCGACATGCAGACCCAGAATCCGCCCATCTCGCTTTTGACTCCCATTGGTGAGTGAGTGCTCTACAGACCTCCCCAACCTTCTCAACCCGCCTCTTTCTCTACTTGAACGAGAAGCCAATTGCTCGACTTGCTTGTCCTCGTGTCGGATCGGCTCGACATCGTTGTTTACCAGATGTCGGAAACTTTTCACTCTGGTGGATGCCTCACACGCGCTATCGCTTTTCGCGGCGCAACACACCATTCAGCAAGCAATTCGCGCTCTTGTGCGACGCTGCAGCTAGCTATCAAGAGTGGTCTTCTACCAGGCTACAGCTGTGATTTGAGTGGGTGTCATGTCATGGGAGCCTCGATAACCTCCGAAGCCTCTCCACGAACCGATACACAAGAATCTCGCTTAGCGAGATACCTATGCTGTCTGGGTCGCACTGTCGGTCCTGGTACCACGAGAACCACACCGCTACCACTGTAGTGGTTACCGGAATGTGCCGGTGTGATCTTTGCCACAGCCATCTCGACATTGATACCTTGTGAAGTTGTAGTCACCGCATCCGGTGACCGCATCGCTGCAGTGTTTTCTGTATACGTTCTTCTCTGATGACCCAAATGGTCACATTTGCTGTGCTCAATCAAACCTTTGCCTCGAAACATTGACTAATGTTGAACAGGATACAAAAACAGTAGCTGTGGCTATTGTCACAAAAAATCAGGAAGTCAGTCACACAAACGTAATTTTCTCCCTCGTTCATTTCAGCGAAAGCTCTGGAGCACAATCATTACTCGAGATGGATCTCCAACCCCTTTACTAGACCCATTTTATGTGTGCGAAGCAGTGTGTTAACTCTCCCTACGTCTAGGCTTCTCATACTATGTTTCCGCTCAGTCTTTGACTCACCATTTCTACCAATCCCTTCTCGGACGCGGCTGGAGAAGGTCTGGAACGCTGTTGTATAAGCCAAATCAACAAGCATCATGCTGTCCACACTACACCATCAGGCTAGATTCCGATGAGTTCCGTCCTTCGAAGGATCAGCGACAGGTGCAAAATCGACTTACCAAGTATGTTCTCGGAGACACGTACATCAAAGAGGCAGCGAGGCTCCACCCACTGTCGCGCGAACAAGCAAAGAAACGCAACACCGACTTCAACTTTGTTGAGCGTATCCATGAATGTGAAAAGGTACAGGTGAAGTCGCCACCCCAGCCAGCCCATGATTTCGTCGTTACGCTCGAGCCCGACGACTTCACGGACGAAAAGTATGTCCTGTTTGAAAATTACCAACGGCTGGTACACCATGAACCTCCTCATCGTATCACAAAGTCGGGCTTCAAAAACTTTCTCTGTTCGTCCCCTCTCTCTCAATGTCGAACCGCCACAGACGGACTGCGACTCGGCTCTTATCATCAGTAAGTATTGGGATAGCCTAAGTTTCCCTGTTCTAGAATGTCCAATCCTTCTCATACCCCCCTTGCCAACCTTCCCGATTGAGTACTTACTGACTTTCCCCCATCGTTCCAGATGCTATCGTCTCGATGGTAAGCTAGTCGCTATTGGGGTCCTTGATTTACTCCCGCAGTGTGTCAGTGCTGTGTACTTCATGTACGATGAGTCTGTTCATCAGCATTCATTCGGAAAACTTGGTGCTTTGAGAGAAATCGCCCTGGCGAAGGAGAACAAGTACAGATATTGGTATGCGGGATTCTACATACATAACTGCGTGAAGATGAGATATAAAGGAGACTACACGCCACAATACATTCTGGACCCTGAATCCTATGAGTGGGATCTACTGGACGGCGAGTTGAAGCAGAAACTTGACAAGAAGAAATACATTAGTCTGTCACGGGAAAGAGCTGTGTTGGGAGGGGAATCACTTGTCTCTACGGACGCCACTCCCGTTTGTGTGTCGGACAATGGTACAGCTGGCGACACCAGCATGGGCGATGACGACGATGACTCTGACGATGATCTTCCTCTTGTGGATCCGGACACGCCTCTGTTCAAACGCTCAATGCCTGGAATTCTCACCAAGAATGAGCTTCTCCACCAAGTAAATCTCGACAAGATCAAAATCAACGTAAGAGGAATTGAATGTCAAGCGGAAGAGCTTGTCCGCTGGGAATCGAGCGATATTGACCATCCGGATTCGATCAAGGGCGTTATCGCCGAGCTTGCTGCTGCTGTTGGCCCTGCTCTCGCGCGGGAAATGGTTGTGAAGTTCGGCTGAGCTATTGGTGTTACTGCCATGGGCCCTGTCTGCAAGAGCTGGGGCGTTATGGAAGATATGAATAATGATTGACGCTTGCTAAGAAGGTAAGAAGGTCCGATGGAGAAAGCAGGAACACAGCATACTATTCCTATCAGACTTGTCGATTTGCCTCACTTCCGGGCACCTTCCCACTCAGAATCGTGACTGCCTCGTTCCCCCACCCGTGCCAACGTCTTTGCTCCCTCTGACTAGCTGTTAGTATAGTATAGTATATAGTATAGTATTGATAGTGACTTGCGAAGCTGCTCAGTATCGCTATCAATCAGTATCTCACGTTAGTGCTCGACGCTATAGACCTACTGGACTGGCCAGTTTTGTAATCTCGTTGACGCAAGGCAAAAGAATGAGATAGCTCCCCGACCATGGGTGGGTGGCTGAGAACCTCAAACACTTTATGGAAACAAATGTATGCGATTTGTCAAATACTTATTGAGAATGTGAGCCCCAATTAGGCCCTGCATAGTCCTGGGATATGTCAACCTAGAATTAGCCGAGAAGACTGCACTCAGCCTCGCAGCCTCGCAGCCTCCCGCTAAAACATGGCCGCTTGTATAGAAACATTTCATTCGGTGTTGGTCCCACTGAACCTCTTGATCAACTCTCTGGATCCGCACCTCCAATTGGCCACGCCTCTTGAAACCACCAGCCAAAGCCTGGATCCGAATACCAGCACATTGCGGAAGCAGAATGGCGCCCTCGTCAACCCAACAGGTTCTGCTCTCCCCAGCAGAGCTCTCCTACCTGCACACCTCCCTCTCCCTCACCCCACCCATCCGCCCCGATAGCCGTAGCCCCTCACAGTTCAGACCCTTGGTCGCAGAGAGCAACATCTTGCCCGGCACGAACGGTAGCGCGCGCATCTGTTTCGCTGACGGCACGGAGGCTATCGTGGGCGTCAAAGCTGAGGTAGAGAAGTCGCGGCCGAGTTGGAACGTTGTTGAAGGGGAAGACGAGGATGGCGAGAGCGAGGGTGAGGGTGAGGGTGATGGAGAAAAGAAAAAGAGGGCATTGAACGAGTGGGTGGAGATTGGGGTTGAGATTCCGGGGATGAGAGACGATGACTCGATGCCGGTGTTCCTCGCGGCGCTGTTGAGCGAGGCGCTCTTAGCCGATGGGGGTTTTACGCAGAGGTTGTGGATCAATGCGCGCTTCCATTGGAAGCTGTATTTGGACGTGAGGTTGATTTTTATTTTTATCGCTGCTGGCTCCAAGCAGAGAAACTGACTGGGAACAGATCCTCCTGCTGTCACAGCCTCTGTCATATCCGCTCCCTCTGCTCTCACTTACGACCCACTTGGCACTCTTGTCTACGAGACTACCGAAGCTGAAGTCAGAAGGCGACGAAGATCCGCTATTCGATGATGATTGGGATGCCTCTGTCTACATCTATCCGAGGGAGGCGCAGGCGGCGCATGCGAGGCCACCTGTGACGCTGCTCGTTATGGCTGTGAAAGAAAATATTATTTTCGACCCGAGTAAAGAGGAGTTGGCAGTCGCAGAAGTAGTCCTGGCCGTATCTGTTGGAGAGCGGGCTCAGGGACGTGGAGGCATGGAAATCGATGGCAAGACGCGGGACCTGAGATTATTGTCGGTTAGGACTATTGATCCCCCGTCAAGACTAACCGCTCCTGGTCTGCCGAATAGGTCGAATACCGCTACAGGAGGAACGGCCACTACGAATGAACAGGCTGCGAGTCAACGAGAGCCGATGGAAGAAGAGGGTGTTTGGCAGCCGCCTAGAGGCGGAGCGAAGAGGAAAGTGATTGCGGCTATGATTCAGAAGGTTTTGGAGCATGGAGGTGTTGCAGAAGAGGTACTGGATGGCCTCGACGGCGTTGAGCTGGGTTAGGTGTATAGTACAGTTTCTACAAAGATACCCATAGTTCTCGCATCAGTACATGCACGTTATGTACGATAACCGAGCTAGACATGGACTCGAAGCTCCCAACCTCACAGCCGACTTCGAAGATAGGTGTCACGCCTCTTTTCAGACCACTACCAAATACCAAGCCACTTCTTCACCGGCCGTGTTGCTCTCACAGGCTCTGCGTCACCAACCGGCATCGCAGGCCCCAATAACTGCTCGTCGCTCTTTGCAGTCCATCCACCAAAAGCCTCGTCGTTCTCCATGCCGTGCGCCTTCCTGTACGCCGCCCTCTTGGCCACATCCTCGACCTTTCTCTTTCTCCTCTCCATCGTCTCTGCCGTCACGTAATCACTGTTCATCTTTATGACCTCCCCGAAAGTTCTAAAGAAGGCGATGGGGTGCAAGAAGAGCTGCGACCACGCAGGAAGCATGTCCGCGAAGGGCGAGTTGCGCTTAAAATTCGTTATCCACACTGTTGCTGCCAGACCAAACAGCGTTCCCTGTTGCCAATTAATTAGGTCCAAGTCCAAGTCGGTGACTGTGAGTGCGGAGACGCACAAGTGAGATGTATAGATGTATACTCCTGTTATTCAGAAACCAGTTCATAAACGAGCCCTCCGGCGGCATCATGTTTGGGTACTTTTTCTTCTTCTGCGCCGCTGCTTGCTCCTCGCTCAGCCGCGGTCCCGGGTATCTGGGCGCTTCTCTCCTGAGACGGGCGCCGTGGGAAGGAGGGTTGAACTTGGCGGGTTTCTCGAGGACGAGGGGCTTGCTGGAGTCCTTGACAGCGTTGACAGCCGAGGGCTTGGGCGAGGTCGAGGGTTTCCCGGCGTCTTTGATAGCGGAGGGTTTAACGGGTTTCTTTTGGGGGACCTTGGATGCATGGCGGACGCTTAGGGGGGTTGATGGGGGTGTTGAAAGTCGAGTGCGCCAAATTGCTCCTCTTTGTGGGAGTAGGAAACGTGGGATGGAAATGAGGTTGGAAGTGGTGGGAGGCATATTGGCTGTGGGTGTGGAGGTGAAGCTTGCTGGGTGAGCTTCTCTTCACTGGCCTGTTGACTTTGCCGGTCGATCATGGTACCAATACTGGCTTAGTCATCTACCGCTTAGTCATAACATCCATCCAAGGTCCATGTTCCGGTGCCTCCCGAGTGTGGCTCGTGACCTGTTTCAACAGCCAATCAGACGATGCATATTAAGAAGCCTACTGCAGCTAGTCCGTCCTGTGGCGGTGCTGCGCTAACATCTCGGTGTCATGGTCATCTTTCGCAAATCTCCCAAAAAAGCTTTTCCTCTTCTTCATCCTGCTCCTTCATCCTCATCCAAATAATAAATATCTCTCTCCGTCCCATAGCTTGACGCCATTCCCATCTTCCACAGCCTCCCAACACACATTTTTTATAATACAAAATGCCTTTCAAGGACGGTACGTACATGTCTCCTTTTCTGATGATCGAGGGCGAAGACCGCCATTGAACAGCCTCAGTTGTTAGCGAGGCATGGGACTTGGGCAGGCGACGAGAAACCCCCGTTGGCGATGTCTGAGTGCTCTATGAACGGGTTCCGGCGTCTTGCAAGGTGATGGGCACCTCGGTTCTGCAAGCCACCCGAGATCTTCGATTTTCAATTACCAATGAATTCGCAACCATTGGGTCGAATTCCGAGATGTTTGGCACTAGGAAGCTTGGGGATGGACAACTTCCACCTGTCCAAAGACTGCTGCCAATGTCTAGAATTCTTTCTTACCGCCAGCTTGCGCTCCACCCCCATCTCCTTTTCAGACATCAAGAATTCCTACAGGTACTTGAGCTAATGGATCCTTGCTTCTAGGAGACGCAAAGAAGGGAGCCAACCTCTTCAAGACCAGATGTGCCCAATGCCATACTCTCGGCGAGGGCGAGGCGAACAAGATCGGTCCTAACTTGCACGGCCTGTTCGGACGCAAGACTGGTGCCGTCGCTGGCTATTCATACACGGATGCCAACAAAGCAAAGGGTATCACCTGGGATAACGAGACATTGGTATGCACCCATATTTGGAGAAAATTTGGCAGGCTGCTAACAAATGGATAGTTCGAGTACCTCGAGAACCCGAAGAAGTACATTCCCGGGACAAAGATGGCATTCGGTGGATTGAAGAAGGACAAGGACAGGAACGACCTGATCACGTACGTCCCTATACCTTCATCATACTTGATTTTTGGCTGACAACTTTCTAGCTTCCTCAAGGAAGAGACTAAGTAGACTGACTAGACGGTGGCGGCCTGTATGATAGGATAGACGAACTTGTACTATAGGTTAGATAGCATTGGGGGTTGCACGAGCGACCAAATATCAGATCTCCTCTTTTCCGGCTGCCTCCTACAGGATGCGATGGAGTTTTGATGGAAGACCGTTCGGTAGATCACAGGATATAGAATTCTTCCCATCCCGACCCTTCTGATCCTGACCTGGTGTTTTTTGGCCTCCTTCTTTCATCACGTCATTGATTTTTCCGCTCGAGGTCTAATTATTTCTTGGACTTCTCATTACTCGCAATTTGCCACATATCTACTTTTCTCATGAGTCATGTAGCACCTCCTTTGGAATCTATTGGCTCTCCGAGGAAGATTGCTAGAATCACCCTATATTATATTGTATTATTTATGTATAACGTATATCGAAATGGTAAACCTCGCTTAAGCGGTACTGACTGCCATCGAGTTACTCGTCGTTCTCGTCACCATCTCATACTCCGTCTCAGAACCTGCCCGCTGCCGACACGGCAAAACCGCAAGCCTTGCCTCTGGATCCCTTGCCAGCGCAACGAAGTGTATCCTGACCCAAACTGGCACCCTGCCCTCGCTGTCACAAAACTCATCTTCAACCTCCATAGCCCACTCCCCAGCCTTCCCACTAAGCACACTATCCCAAACCCACCGCGCCAGGTCTGCCATGATGCGCTGCTGGACTGCTACCACGGCAGGATCTTTGACACCACCAAGCCCCTGCACGTGCAGGGGGACTGCGATACGAGGCGGTGGTGGGATGTGGTGCCTCACGCGCGCAGAGAACAGCCGCTAGAAGGTCACGGGGAAGTCAGTTACTGCCTTCTTAGAGCGGTCTCGGGAGGAGGGCAAGATTTTTTAGCCCCCGTTACCTACCATGGTTTGCCGCACGAGTGCATACTCATAGATAGAGGCTTCGTGCACGGATTCGAAGGTTGCGGGCATGCGGCTCAGGAGCGCACGCTCACCTTCTTGGATCAGGACCTTTCTTTCGGGCGTATTTTCATATGTGAAACTTGCGGCCTAGGAGATGGGATGTCAGTTGCGGCTCTTGTGTTTACTTTGACAGGATGTAAGCGAGGAGTTCGGAGGCCGGCTTATGAGACGAAGTCAACAGGGGGTTGATGCCCCAAGTAGTGTGGCTTAACTCTCTGCGTTGTCCACTTTGGGCTCGAACATTGGTGACTTGCTTGACCCGGAGCTCTCAGATTGGAAAGCTGGTGAGGGAGGCTTGCACAACAATGTGTTGTTGAACTGACACCTTACACTGGGGCATGGACATGTTCTCGGGTGACGGAATGAATCTGGACCTCCAGATTTCCTAACCTCGTGTTTGTATCTCCAAGAGTCCGGAGAGCTCCAAAATTCCGAGGTTGGGTTTGAAGCCAGGCTCTCCGCCAATTCAAACGCGTCTTGGCCTGACCTAAGGTCCGAATTTTCGAACATCCAAGGTCGTCCCGGCACCTCCCTCTCGTGCTTGCAACCAGGAAGATCTGAGCTGGAGAACTCACTTCCATCAAATGGAAGTTCAAGACCGATCAATTTAACCTCGTGGAGCAGTGACATCGAAAGTAAACACACGTGCTCACCTGAACATCCAGTCCTTGGAAGATTCTTACCAGTTGATCCTCTACCCGATCTTGCGCATTACCCTCCAAACATACAAACCGTCTCTCACTCCTCGCATCGACGGCCTCCTCCCGCCACGCCTGGATCAGGCGAAATCCCGTCTATATCTGCCGAATCGCCATTTCTTGATCTCCGTTCCATGCTTCAAAGTACATCACCACGAGACACGTTAGCAAAGTAATGCGCAAGTCTTGGTTCCCGCTTCCAGCCGCTAGCCACATCTCTCGGATTGCGGTCGTGTATTGCCGGAATGCGTTGTGGTGATGTTCCTGGGAGTTTTTGGAGCGTCCGTTAAGGGTGAGACGTGAGAAGTCTCTGTGTGAATCGGCTGCTAAGTCTAACGCTCCAAGAGCGATGACTGCGTGTTTGACTATGCAGAGCTCAGCTGGTCCCTTTTTTTTTTTTTTTTTTTTTTTTGGAGCATTTAAAAAGGATAAAGTGTGATCCTGGGACACCATAAGGAGCCCCTCGTCCAAGACCATGTCGGCGGCAAACGATCCTGGATCATGACGATCAACAAGGAATTCGCACGTACTCGCCGGGCTGACTCTCGCAGGTCTGCAAGATAACCTGTCTCAACGGGAAGATGTGCTCGTCAAAATCGGGTAAGATCTCGCTCGGACGCCGTCTTGTTCCAAAAGACGTTAAAATAGCGGTACTCCTGATCAACTGTAAATAGCGACGTGGTCGGGACCCGTACCAGCGGCGGAACGACTGGCGCTTTGGGGAGCAGAGCTTTCTGAAATGCTTTCTGAAATGCTTTCTCGTCGGAGACGTAGCCGTCGCACCTCGTGCCGAATTTGATGCACCGGAAACACTGCGAGGAATTAGCATGTTTAGTGGATGGGAGGAGAGGATGCATATCTTGATATATATATATATCAGAGGTTGGGAACGGTCCATCCGCATCTGATCAACACGGGTACGTACATGAGGTCTCTCCTCTCTACATCTCACCCGCCGCATCCTGTCCGTCCTCGGTAAGCTGGGACGCAAACCCAAGGGAGGGAACGCCATCGTGCGACAGTGGCTGCTCTGCTTACTTGCATGTCCGGCATCCCCGTTCTAGTCTTTGGTAGGCCCCTCCTCTCTTTCTTGCCTGCTGCCGACGACGACCCTGCTGTGGTGGGCATCTCCACGCCTCGAGTGGGAGTAGAGGACTGCGACTCAAGTCGAAGGGTCGTTACTCAGCCGAGACAAGCGACGAGGTGGTCGTACGGACTAGGGACTACGGACTTAAAGTCGTAGTCTAGAAGAAGGGAGAGTCAAGACGGACGTTGTAGTTGTTGTCGGAGTTCAGCATACATATCGACCAGCCTCAGCCTCAGTCGACGAAATTACTAGCAGATTTCATCTAGTACCCACCCATATGTGCTCTCTTGATTCCTAATTTTCGGGTAATTTTCGATGATGGCCCGACGTGACGATCTCTTGGAATATTTCGAATATTGAATTGAAAGGAGCACTCAGTTACTTCCAGTGATGATGTTATATATGATTCACTTTGCGGCCCCGTGTGAAGATTCGTAGCCCGAGTTAGGACATCCAAACAAGCTTTCTCCATCAACAAAACATCGCCTAACGCTATTCACCGAGTCGCAAAATCCCACCGGCGAAGGAACTGGACATGTAACCCGAAAACCAAACACAACAGCTTTCTTTCAAAAATTATATTATCCCATCTGAAGCAATCCATATAAGCATATTTCCGATAAACAGGGGTATCCAGCCACCGATCCCAAACGCCAGGAAATGTCAGAAGACTCGAGGAAATATGTTGCGTCGAGTAGGACAAAAGGAAATGGCATCATGAGAGTCCTCAAAATCATACATACGCGTTGGGTCAAGGCGCACCTCCCTCCATCAAGATCTCTCTGAGTGCGTCGTGGTCCACGACTTCTGCCTTCACTTGACTTGGAGCTCTTTCAATTTTCTTCGCAAAGCCTAGGATTGGACCCTTCTGGTTGATGCCAGGAGCGCGGCCCGCAAACGCTTTCAGAGGGTCCACCACGGGTGTGCTCACGGCTCGTTGTTGTTGTTGTTGTTTTTGCTGTGGGCTTGACTGTGGGCTTGCTGAAGATGATCGTCCAGCACCTCCGGCCGACTTCTGAGGAGTGATACCCCAGCGACCGAATACCCACCCGCCAAGTTTTGTCTTGGTTCTTTCGTTGGAGTTTGATGGTGAGATCGACCGGGGGCCGTCGCCACTCGCTCGCATGCTACGCAGGTAGGCCGTACTATCCTGAGTCTGACGAGACAGAGTAGCACGTGGTATAACCGTGGACGACTCGCTGGAGACAATGACCGTCGGGGTGCCTAATCGTGATGGTGGACGAAGGAGGGCGCTGCCACCTCGGATGGTGATCTGGCTGGGGCGAGATTTAAGTGTGTGAATGTCGATGCCCGAAACTGAGAGTATTGAGTCATGAGATGCCGAGGGTCGAAGTCGTGGCCGAAGAGACGACGTCCAGTGCTCTTCCTCATGGTCTGTAGAGAAGTACTCTGTGTCACGGGACGTGTGCGAAGGGGTCGGATCATCGTCCAGTGGTGGAGTTGGCTGCACGTCTTCGATCTCCTCGATATCGTCACCTCTCTCTTCGTGAATAACGTGAGACTGGAACTTTGAAGCAAGCAGGCAGCTTTGAGTGGACGCCTCCGAGCCTCGCTTCCGGTGATGAAATGATGGTGCGAATTTGGGCGACATGAGGTCGAGACTGGACGAAGGAGAGGTAGGTCGAGATGAGTCGATGTCGAGCCTGTCAAACAATCCGCTCTGCCTGTAGATGGACTGAGGAGAACTTGGGACAGATGAAGGAGCAAACTCGGACATCTGTCCCGATTGTACCGACCACCTGTTGTTCGGGGTGAGAGGAGACGGTATGGTGACTGATGTCTGTGACAGTATCGCGCTCGCAGAGTCGTGGCTTTGGTTTGCCCTTGGGGATTGCATGCCTTTGGGTGGTGTCAACAGAGCTACGTTGAGAGAGATACGCTTCTTCTTCGGACGACGAATCTCTTCCTTCTTGGATGTATGATAATGATGGTGGATATGCAGGGCTTGCGAGATGACCTGAGGTGCTCTCTCCTCTATTGCTGGTTCCTTTGGAGCAAGCTCTGCCCTGAGAGTTTGTGGTCCACTGGCATGGCCCTCGTCGTCCATCGGCTGGTGCATGAGTAGTTGCTCCCGCAGCGTCTGAACTTCGTCGTTCGAGTTCATGAGCATCTCCCTTAATTCCACGATCCCCATCTGCAGATTCGCGTTGTCCTGCAGGATGTCCTTGACAAAATGCGACACCACGTTGCTCCCATTCTTGCTATTGCTGGTCGTGGCCGCAGCGGCACCCTTCAGTCTTCCAGCAGCAGTGTCGAGTTCCTTTTCCACTGCCCTCTGCCTTTCCATACGACCCATCACTTCGACGTGCTTCTCTCTTTCCTCCTTGGCTTCTCGCTCGATTCTCTCCAACTGTCCATGCAAGTCGCATATTCTCCGCTCGGCTTTCCTCCATCTCTGGATAGCAGACCGTTCTTCCTCTTGCGTCGTTATTAGAGTCCTCTGCAACAAGTCCTGCTCCTGTTCAAGAGCAGCCAGCTGCACCTCCAAGTCCCGGGTCCGCGACGCTAACAATTCGAGGTGACGGAGTTCCTGGCGGGTCGAGTATAGAGTGGCTTCGAGAGATTTAATGTGCGTTTCGGACTCCTCGAGGGTTCCATTCAGGTCTTCCAGTTGATCCAACAGTCCGCGATTTTCCTCGATCGATTTCGCATTCTCGTGCTCCAGCGCCTTGCGATCCTTCTCGGCATCGTGCATATACTGTTCATGGCGTACTAGCAGAGCCTGCAGAGCAAATGTCAGCGAGCTGCTCATCTTGAAGCAGTTTGAATCTTCAACCAAGGGAGGAGAGGTTCCGCAGTCATTGTTCGCAATCACAAATTTTATAGACATTGGACTGGGGCGCACCATGTTGTGCAAGAACTTCTCCACTGAGAAGGATGGATGGAACACGAGGAATGCTAACCTGGCCGAGTGAGGCGACCGTCCGAACTTCTTTCTCAAGATCGTCGAGTGCAACCCCATTGTGCTTCAGATAGGCACAATCTGTGCGACCGCAGCAGCACCATAGAGAGGGTGTCGTCGAGCGGCATTTCGGGATAGCAGTGATCAAAGCCTCCAGTTGGTCCCCAGGCTCCATGTCCATGTCCATCTCCATATCCATCTCCGTCTCCGTCTCCGTCGCGTTAAACCAGTAATACAGCTGGCTTGGTCGGAGATTTGGTGCTGCGTCGCACTCGTATCATTATTGCTCCGTCAGGTTACAGAGACGATGAAGGAGTGGGCAGGTCGTCGGGGTCTTTTTGTATTGATCGAGTCGAGTCGGGTCGAGTTGAGTCGAGTAAGGGCAGTGGTTGAGAGCCACCCCGTTTGGTGGCTTGGGTTTGTGCTATGTTGTGCACCGTGCGGTGTTCCTGGCAGATCTGACTGGGATTCGGGCTGCGCGCGGGAGGTGTTCCTGTCCCCGTCCGGTCCCTTTCAGTAAGTATACAGAGTAAATACCATTTGGCTGGTTTAAGCTTGAAAATCCCGGCCTTCGATTTCAGTCACCAACGAATCCAAGAGCAAGTCGCTCATAACAACGCGATAAGTTGTGTATGGAGTACTCCGTACGGAATCCGTACGCAATCGAATCCGGTGGTTGTGAGTGACCGAGCTTGGGTGCAAAGGATATTTGATTTGTTTATTTATTTATTGGTCACATCCTTTCTCCTCCCTAATCAAATCCTACTTCTTCGGGAAATGACGCTAAGAGATCGGTAGAATATTCGCTAACGAGCCGGGCCCGGGCCGTTTGTTTACTCGTTTACCGAAACTCTCGAAAATGTACCTAGGGAATACATCACACAACTATAATTTGCATGCCGTATGATTCCCGAGACAATATGGAGTCACACAAATAATAAGCTGAATTGCGACCCAGTCGATATGTATTTAAAGTATGCTAGCCCTAAGAATATTCAAGTGAAGAAGTAGAAAACAACGCAGGAACACTGATTATCCCTTTACACGTAAGGCCAGCCACCTGACCACTTAAGCGCGTTCCATCCAAACAGGTACTGACCATCCCCCAGCCCTTTAGTAGTTTCAGCGTAATGATAGTACAGAATCAATCCCTTGGACGGGTCGTTAAAAACACCCTGCCCACCGGGCCCGTATATAGTGTTGTGGGACTCGAGGAGAGGCGAACCTCCGTTGGCAGTACAATCCTTTCCGTCCTTGTCGATAAAGTCACCATCGTGGTGGGAGCTGCGGCACATCATGATTTTGTATTCCATGCCTTTGGCAGGTTTTTTGCTAAATATGCTGTCAGCGACAGACCTCGGCTTATATGGGCACCAGAGTAACTTACGCATCGTAACCGCAGCAGATACCCAGCGACCAAGTCAGGTAGTAGTAGCCGGAGTAGTAGAACATGTACGCACCCTCGGATGGGGATCCGTTCCTCGAGTCGTATTGCAATTGGTAGGCGCTATCTCGAGCGGTCTTGGTAGCGGCATCATTTAACTTGACTTGGTAGATGTTGCCCCAGAAAGATCCAAAGTTCATGTAGTATTCGGAGCCGACCGGAATCAAGTTAGCGTCGATAGCGTTGTAAGGCTTTCCTGGTTTCGAAGCGATTCCGACAGCTCCTCTGTCGGTCCAGGTTCCTGGATCCATGGATGGAGAGGTGGCAAGTCCAATCGCACTGACTTGTGATCCGAAGGTAGAGGCGGAGTAGTACATGTGGTAAACGCCGTTAACGAGACTGACGTCCGGGGCCTGGCAGTAGCATCAGCCAGCTGAAATCGACAGATTCGTGAGAAAGGAAAATACGCACCCACAGGTCCTTGTTCCCGGGGTTGTCGAGGGAGCTTCCAGCAGTGAAGACAAATCCTTGCAAGGTCCATGGTCCATTCAACGAGGTCGAGGTGGCAATCTCGACATTACCAGCAGTATTGAACTTGAAGTAAAGACCATCCGAGTCACGACGAATAAGGGCGGGATCGTGAGCCCAGCATGCGCCAGCGCAAACTTCTGGATTAGGGTAGGCCGCGAAGACAGGGACCACGGCCAGGATGGCAACCAGAAGATGAAGCTTGAGCAAGGAAAGCATTGTGAGCTTGAAGTGAGGAACTGACAACGTGGATCAAGAATAGCTCTCTGTACCGTAAGGGGGAGAGAGCGACTTCAAGTAGGGAATCGGAAATGAGTGGTAGCATGGTCACGGTAGTTGTAGTTCCAAGATCCATGGGGGTGGCTGCTTAGCCAAGCAGTTCACCCCGAGCGAGTCTCGCTCAACCTGAGCTTTAAATGCGGGAAACTCGGACTGTGTGGTGTACCGTGTGACTAGCGGTCCTGGCTATAGTATTTTTCCATGCGTCCTATCCATGGAAAAGAATATCGTAATTGGGGGTGGTGGATACAAGAAGTACATAAAGTAAGCTCAAGTGGCAAGTGGCAAGTTTAAGCTCCCACTCTCTATTCGAAATTGCGGACCAAGTTTCAGACATACTTCCCCGGTCCAAACATTTACAACCTAAATAATCCACCAATCAAGTTCTCGGATCCGGTCGAAGATGCGACGAATTTTGGGTTGTGGCGTATGGAGGTGCCATCTGAATTTATGAATCGTGGATATAGCCGCCCTGGTCGTCGCAATGAAACCAAGGAGATGGGATGGTTGTTGATCATGCATAGGAAGAATTCGTTACAGTAGATACACATTCCAAGGTCTACTCTGTATTTCCTATTCCCTGGCGGCCCCTGGGCCAGGGGCCAGGGGATCTCGCTTCGCCACGGTCGTAAATACTACTACTACGGAGTAGTTGTACAACGTACTACGTAAGTGCAGGGCTGCTTTCTGAGGCCTTGAACATTAATACTACGTCAAGTTTCTCAAGAATTACACTTTGAAAAGAAAAAAATTAAAAAGATAAATTCTTAAAGTAAGCGCTTCAACCCTGCCGTAAGTTTTACGGATAGCAAACCCGCTCGGCACTCGTCACCTAGTCAGCTCTCGTATTCATCCGTTTAATCCACAATCGATGCCGTAGCCGATTTCGTATCCTCTTTCGTCATCGACACGAATTCAGCGGATGCTTCCCAGAGTTTACCGGCTGTTTGCTCCGTACCGTGCGCATCTGTATTATCCTCCGTATGATGCAATAGCAGCCGAAGCGGTTGCTCGTCGTGTTCAAAGATATCGGCCTCGGCTTTATCCATCGGCTTTATCCATTTCTTATTCTCCTTGCGAAACGCTTCCCAGCCTGCTTGATCTTCCACAGTCTAGACATAATAGCTTCGCCTTCTTTTCTCGCCGTAGACGTCGACCGTGTCGCTCTTAGATAAATAAATTCGCCTTTTTTCTCTCGATATCGCCTTCGCGATCCGTGCAAACGTTACAGTTGTATTCCGGCACCAATTTGTCCTGCATAAGAAAGTCTTTACTCTGTCGATAAGATTTGCAGCCCCAGCAGCGCAATCGATTCGTAGACAAGCTGTCCATACAGTATGTATTGAGTGTCTTGACTGAAAAGTTTGATTAAGTGGTAATCGAGTATTTTAATTGAGTGCTTGTTTCAAGTGTCTTGAATGATTTCTCGACTTTGGGGTTCCCGCACGGACTCTACTACACGTGATTGAGCAGTAACCTGTGGGTTCGTGCTGAATAGTATGTGAAGGCTTCGTCCGGAGATTCAGAGGAAAGTGAAACGCGATAGCAGTCGTGCTCCGTATTGTGGCATTGGTTGCATTCTCTTATTCATAACAGACATCCATTTCTCCCCTGAAAGAGCCTAACCTAGATCTTCACCTCTGATGGGACGCTGATAGAAAGAACATCGACGCCCTTCTTCAGCTGGCTCTTCGTTGGCATAGCACCCCTTCTCATCAATTCTGAAGATGCTACCATGACTGGGTCGACACCCATTGTCGCGACAGCAACAACAGTCTCGCCCTTGGTATAGTACGCAACAAACTTTGCCTCCTCAGGCTGGCCTTGGAGAACAAGATCATCCCATCCATTGGGAGTGTTTCCACAATATCTCAACTGGGAGCCGAGAGCAGACCAGAAGATGGGAGTGAAGGCTTTGGCTTTGGCAGATGGGTCGACAATGTTGGCTGCTACCGAACGGCCGGCGTTTTGTGCAACGTTCCAATGCTCGATACGTGTGAAGGCACCCTCACCTCCAGGTCCATGGTATGGGTAGGTAGCAATGTCGCCTATGGCGAAGACGTCTTTCAGTCCAGATACAGCGAAGTGCTCATCCGTCTTGAGAGATCCATCCTTCTGTAACTCAATGTCTTTATTATCCTTAAGGAAAGTGGTCGCAGGGCCGACTCCGGTACCCAAGATGACCAGATCCGCAGGCAACGTCGTACCGTCCTTGAGGGCGATGCCTCCAACCTTTGAAGAGTCGGACTCGGACGGAACGGCTTTTTCAACACCAGCTGACATCTTGAACTTGACTCCATTTTTCTCGAGAGACTTCTGGAAGATTTTTCCGACCTCTTCGCCCATGATTCTCTCAAGCGGGGCCTTTTCCATACCAACTACTGTCACGTCATTGCCCTTGGCCACAGCATTTGCGACTTCCATACCGATGAAGGAGCTTCCAATAATGACAATCTTCTTACCCTTGTCACCAATGGCAGTGTTGATAGCCTTCACGTGCGGAATGGTACGGAGAAGAAAGATGTTTCCAAGCTCTGTGAAGCCCGGCAGTGGGAGACTCTTTGGAGTGCCACCAGTTGCCAAAACAAGCTTCGAGTATGAGTGCGAGCCTGGGGAACAGATTAGAAGACGTCAACGAGATCTTGAGCCATGACTTACTGCCACCCTTAGTGGATACCTTCTTCCCAGAAAAGTCAACACCCGTAACCTCATCGCTTACTAGGTCAATAGACCCTTCCTTAAACCAAGCATCATCTCTCAAGGCAATCTTTGAGTGGTCGTCAATCAAAGCCTTCGAAAGCTTGGTACGGTCAAACGGCAGGTATCCCTCGCTGCTTATCAAAGTGATCGATCCCTTGTATCCATTCTCACGAAGAGCTTCGAGGGTGCCCAGGGCCGCACTTCCACCTCCAACAATTACGATCTTCTCTGCGCTTTGAGCACCCGAGATTCTGATATTCGGCTTTCGCCTGCTGCCTTTGATAGTTTGTTGTTCGCCCGTGATGTATACTGAGCCATTCTTTTCGGACAGCTGGAAGGAAGGTAGAGCATCGATGGCGGGTGCATTTTCAATGTCTCCATTTTTGGCGTTGAAGCAAGCTACCAGCAGCGCGGGTTAGTAAATTCTAATAGTCTGAAAATCGGGGATCAATTCCTACCTCCGTGCCATGGGCAGGTAATGCGCCCATCGCCTGTCAATATGCCCTTGATTAAAGGAGCTCCATAATGTGTGCACTTGCTACCTAAAGCTGTCGTCTTCCCTCCAACATTGCAGAGGAGTACCTTGCCCTCGTCAATGCCCTCAATTTCGACCTCTCGCTTCTCTCCTGGCTTCAGGTCGAGACTGCTCAGGCCTTTGAGCTTGTATTCTTGAGCCATACTGTAACTGCGCGACGAGATTGAGATGAACGGTTTGGTGATGATGCTCGGATTGCGGGGAGATGCAGCTCGACCCAAGTTGCTTTGAAGTCCCGTTGATCGAAGGAAACGCAGCATACGATCGATATGGGGACGGACGGACAGAAATGGAGGAGAGGAGAGGAGAGGAGATGCGATGCGATGAGACGAAAGCAGAAGAAGGGATGGATCTCACCGGGCGGTCAAGTCACGAATTGAGCTACGTACTCAGAAGTACGAAGGTACCTAGCTAGGTACCTACAAGGTCGATAGCCAGCTAGATACCGGTACCTAGCTGATGAGGTAGTCGATATGCGGGAGCTTTGCAATCCTGTGCCGTCCATTGGATGGGATCTCGCTTCCCCTCTTTGATATACGGGGCAAGGATTTCCGGCAGTTTGGAATCGATTGACCGTAAACTACAGGGGCACAAGGCCATGTATATATAGATGTATATATATATATGTGTATATGTATATATATGAATATATATATATACACATGTAACCCGCATGACCTTCCCCCAAGCGTTGCATCGTTGCATCTCATCAAAGATATTATTTGTCACATTTATATTCGTGATTACGGCACGAAACCGGTATCTGTCTCATGACCAAACCACCGGCGAAGGACAGCCGGCTCTCCGACTCTTGGAGCACATCACGTGCAATGCAGCTCCACAAAAGGCCGGTTTTATTTCCGGCCAATTCTCCAATCATACCTACCTACTTACCGACTGACCTGCTTACCTAAGCTCACGACTCTGGTCTCCTGAATAGCATCATGGAAGACTCTGCCTTCTCATCATCTGTATTGCAGTCAATACATATAAATCTACTCATATCTACTTATATCTTGTTTCATTATTGCTTGCTCTTGCTTTTCCGTTTGCAGTCTCTCGGTACCATCACATCAGCCCCTTGGTTTCTTAGTTACTCCGTCTACATGATCTGGTCTCGATCAATCGATGGCTGTCGACCATCATCGACCGTTCCCTCCCCTTCCCTTCAATATACGAAGCTCTGAGTCCTTATCCAGTCCGTATGCCACGTTTCTCTTATCGGAAGTCTTACCAAGTGGGCCCCATTGGCCATAGTCTCGGTGGATAAAAGTGTGTTCTTGGATCGAGGCCGGCTTTGATTCCGGCCTCACCTGGGAACAGATAAAAGCACGAATTTTCGCCCTTTTCCCTTCTTCTCTTTCTCTTCATCTTCCCGCCACAAGCACCAACAACACCAGAGCTTCTCTCAGACTTTCCATCACCCAAATCCGGCCCACGTAGCCCTTTATACGTTGGCATCAATATCAATACCAATACTTTCTTTCTCCATCGTTACACATCACAAACATCCACATCCATCACACCATGGGCTCCATCGCCGCCGCCTCCTCCTTCAACGTCCTCCGCGACACCAAGCCGGAGGATACAACCCTCCCAGCCTTCATGGTCTCAACGACCCGTGGTTTCCTCCCCCGGCAAGAGCCCATCATCTCCCTTCCTGCCGAGTTCGCAGCTCTCGAGTCCATTCTCTCCCGGATGCCCGTCAAGACTCTTGAGGGCTTGCCTGGTCTCCTCGCGACTTTCAGCCTTGGTGAGACAGTTCTCAGAGATCTTCCTGACTTGACGAGCGCCGTCAACAAGTACAAAGACAACATGCCCTTACAAAATGCCTTGTACCGGGACTACTCCTTCCTTGCTTCGGCTTACCTCCTTGAGCCATGCCACGAACGATTCCTTAAAGGAGAAGGATACGGACTTGGTCGTCAGACCCTCCCATCCGTTATCTCCTTGCCCATCTCGCGGTGTGCCGAACTGTAAGTCTCTAAACATGGATGTGGACCTCTCGCTAAGGAATACAGGGCTGGCTTCAAACCTTTTATGGAGTATGCAGGCTCCTATGCGCTCTTCAACTACCGCCTCGAGGACCCAAAGCTAGGTCTTCAGTACGACAACCTCCGCCTCATCCGCGCCTTCGAGCACGGTCTCGACCCCAAGTCATCCGAAGCAGGGTTTGTCCTCGTGCACGGTACGTGGTGGGCAGAATTTCATATCCCTCTCCCGAAACTTTTCCAATTTGACAATTACTGACTTTACCTTGTCATACAGTCGACATGGTGCAAAACTCTGGGCCTTTGGTCGACGGTGTCGTCTCAGCACTCGACGCATGCGAGACCAATGACCGCGAAGTCTTCAATGTCGGCATGGAGAAAGTTGTGGCTAGTATGACGAAAGTGAACAAAGTCATGGACGGTGAGCCATTTACTTCCTTTTCTTCGTTTCGTGCCTGTACTATATATTTGGGAGACGCCTGAAATTGACACGTTACGAGGTATGTGGGGGAAGAGTAAGCCAGGAGACTATATCTCGTTCCGGACCTTCATCTTCGGCATCACTTCCCAGAGCATGTTCCCGGTAAGTAAAATTGGGCAGCAGCCCTCCCCCTCCCCTCAACTTCCAGTGTGTATCCTGATCACGAGAAATACTTCCGAGGAATGTGAACATGATGTTTCCGTGTGCTAACATCCCAATTATCCAGCACGGTGTTATCTACGAAGGCGTGTCCGAGGAACCCCTCTCTTTCCGTGGGGAGTCTGGCGCAAATGACAGCATGGTCAAGTCACCTCTTCATCTCCCCATTCCCATTCTCATCCCCAAATTCCAAGTTCTCGTATTTCAACGACTGTTGCTAACGACCACCAGATCCCGCTCTGCGACAACTTTCTCCAGATCACCATGCCTGACACCCCTCTAACAGCAATCCTGCAAGACTTCCGCGCTTACCGTCCTGGAAACCACCGCGAGTTCCTCGAACACGTGCGCGCGCGGTCCTCGCTACTCTCCCTACGCTCCTACGCCCTGCAGGACCCCACCTCCAGCGCCCTCTACCTGCTCGCTCTGAACCAGGTCCGTGACTTCCGCTGGCGCCACTGGTGCTTCACCCGGGAATACATTCTGAAGAAGACGACGCACCCGGTCGCGACGGGTGGGAGCCCCATCGTGACATGGCTGCCGAATCAGCTGCAGGCGGTGCTGGACGCCATGATCGCGGTGTGGGAGGGCAGCGGAAGGAAGCTGGGCATGGGCTGCGAGCAGGTCATGGACCTTGTGGTGCAGCAGAAGGAGACGCTGACCAAGGAGGTTGAGAAGTACTGCAAAGAGCGGAATGTAGATGCGAAGACGGGGAGGGTGCAGTAAGTACGTTTCGGGGAAGTGTGGAAGTGTGGAAGTCAAATCATTGTCGCTTGTTTTCTTATTCGAGGGCAAATGTGAAAAGAAGGCCCTGGCCTCATCAACCGTTTGCGTTTCCCGCCCGAAGACGCTTCGACTTTGGGTATCTCACCATGGGCGCCGTTGCCGTTAAAAGTGGTCCTGTCCTCGCGCTGTTCTTTATTATCTGCATGTTCCTCATCTCGTACGTATCAGTCGCAGACACCTGGACAATAGTGAGCGTAAATACACTTTATTACCTACCGTGCATGTCCTGCGGCAGGCAATATGGGATGGAATACATAGGCCGCTCAAGACAAAAGATAGCGACAAACTTCGCAGCTGATACAAACGACCACCGCGTAGGACCAAACGATGAGCAATAGCCACCTAGTTAGGCAACAAGTGCAAAGGCATATCCTTCGAACCGGCAATAAAATAAAAACAAACGTAACCATGCCTCCAACCTAACGCGACCTTTTTTTTTTTTTTTCACCTACCCCATACAGGAAAAGGGGATAAATACCTTTTTTCCCGAGACGAGACGAGACGTGCTCACGCTGCAATCCCTCTCCCTTTTTTTTTCTTCTTTCTCTCTTTCTTTTTTTTGAATATATATACCTATATATATATATATATATTTGTGCACTCACATCATCCAAAACCACCTTTCCCACCTTTTCATCCATCCATCCCCACCCCCACCCAACCCCCTTGGTCAGCAAAGTTCGAAGTTCGAAGCCGGATGCAAGAAGAGCACGGAGAGAGACGCCGCTGCCATCGAAGCGTGCAATCTGTGCCATCGTCAGCCGGTCGGTGTTGGTGTTTGGGCGAGGTGCGACTGTCGGCTTTGAGTTGGGGTACACTTCATTTGGAGGGAGACCGGTTGGAGGAGGAGTACCTCAGACCGCGGAAGATCGAATCTTTACATCATAGATCGAGATTTCGAGTCGAAAAAAAAAACATGGGTACTCGGCACAATCCCATCTCGAAGTCCTCGAAGCCGAAGTTCAAGCCAATCTTCCGAAAAAATTGCCTCGCAGATATTGGTCTCCGCAAGATTAATGCATCGATCCATCCATACTGTACTGCAAAAGAAAGTTTCAGCTTGGGTTCGGCAGAAATAAAAAAAATCATCACTTTGTTCATCAATTGCAATTGGGCACCTTTTTTTCTCCCGACCTCAATCCGATCGAGCACGTTTGGTAGCATCTTAAAAAAAAGAAGCTTTACCAATTGTTCCCCGGCGTTGCGATCGATAAATCGAATTTCGAAACACGCAAGGCAGAGGATAGAAAGTTGTTTGCAAGCTGCATGAGATACATTAGATCAATCGTTGTTCGATAATTTGTATCAGAGTATGCCGGATAGAATTAAAGCTTGTATCGCGGCTAAAGGCTGGCATATTAAATATTAAGGTTCGTGCGCTTTCGAAAAATTAGCTCAAAAATTGAGAAGGGTAAAAGGAGTCTAAAGAATAAAATGATTTTTTTTTTAAAAAAAAATTTGGATTTGTAATTATTGCGTAATTAAGGTATACTAAATGGATGTCTATTGTTGATTTGGAGTTCTCGCTTAAATGGCGAACAGCAGTTGCCTAGTACTGTGAGAAGGTGCGGTTGCCGGGTTTGACGCTTTGGGACATGTTGAGAGGGGGGGATTTATCAACAGGAGGTGCGAGTGGAGTAAGTAGTTGTCGGTATTGACCGCTGTGCGACTGACTGTAGGATGAGCAACTGGAGGTGCAATGAGTGGTCAGGTTTGATTGAGGCAGATTCGTACGAATATCAACCAGAGGTGCACTTGTCAGTTTTGAACAAGGGACATTCGGAACGCTTCCTTCGCGCTACTTCAAACGAACCTACTGTTCAGCCACTGCACTGGTTCCAGAATCTCTCACGAACTCGTAGTAATTTATTAGGTATTCCTGACGCCACCAACCTGCCCTCTGGTATCGATAACTGCTCAAAGTCGATCAACCGTCCCTAAGACACAAACAGCCTCAGCGAGATAGACTCCACGCACCGCTCCATATCCGCCTCAGCATTTGATCAAAATTATCATTAATTCGCAACCCAAAGACCGCCCTCAAATTATCACCATCTACACATTTGCATCGGCATTCGCCCTGCTCTCAACCTTTTCCGTGGCCGTGGAAGGCTCATCATCGCTGACAGGATCCACAGGCATGGTTGGTGCGAACGCACTTTTTTGTCTAATCTTGGCGCCGTACTTGTAGAAGACCATCGGGATCGGAATAAGAACGGCCGCGACACAGCCGAGGAGAGTTGCAGTCCAGTTGACCTTCAGAGCATCGATCATGTACCGAGCGAATAGTGGAAATCCAGCTCCAGCTAAAGAGCGAAGGAAGGTATTAGCAGCGATGGCGGATGCTGCGAACATGAGGTACGCATCAACGAGGTAGTTCAATGATTGGAGGAAGATAGCAAGGAGCCCGAAGCCGGTGAAGAGACCAGAAAGGGTAGGGACAATCCAGTGAATCTCTGCTTTGTAGCCGGTCCAGCCTGCAGTGGTATCAGTAAAAGATTACTAGGCTTCCAAGTCCCCGATGTGTCTCGGATATCTCGATACTCCAGGTGCTGGGTGACTTACCGAACCAAAACAAACCAGCGGCGAAGGAAATACCTCCAAGAATGACCGGAGGCAATCTCCATTCTGGAATCGGAACACCGTTGTTGGCGAGGAGCTTCTTGTTGTAACTTGGCTGAGTGAGAGCAACGTAGATTCCGGCGATGATTTGACCAGCAATCATTCCAAAGTAGGTTAGACCACCGATACCACTGCTCATGCCATGGATTTGTTGGAAGACGACAGGGTAGAGAATTAGGAAAAGATAAAGAAGTCCGTATATAAAGGACATGTAAATTGACAGGAGGAGGACGATGGGCTCGGTAAACAGGATTCGCATGGGGCGAGAGAAGTTCTTGGTGACCAATTCGCGGAAGTCGATTTCGATTTCCTCCTGCTTGGCGTGGATACCCCAGTTCTTGGTTCTTCTGCGCAATTCAGCGGCTTTGGAGACCAGAATGACGGGTGGGTATGTCTCCTCGAGGAACAAGGCCTCCAGGATGAAAGCTGCGAATCCCATAATAGCAACCACCCATTCGGTCCACCTCCATCCAAGGTGACTTTCGACGATGAAGCCGCCAATGAATGGTGCAAGGAGCGGACCAGTGAAAACCGTCACGGAAAAAAGGGTTATGGCCAGCCCACGAGTTCGATTGTCGAACATATCGGAGAAGACCGCACCTACAACCGCCAGTGGACACGCGCCAAACAGTCCTAGATGCAAGTCAGATCTTGGGATGCGAGGCAACCATGATAATCGAAGTTGACTAACCTCCAAAGAAACGGCACAGCAGGACAGTCTGAAGATCCTTGCCTGCGGCAACAGCAACTTGGAAGACCGAGAATCCAAAGATGGATATGACTAGAGGCATTCGTCGTCCTTGCAATTCGCTCAGTGGAGCCCAAAAGACGGGACCAAGAGCAAATCCAAGCACGTAGAGAGACAAGCCCAACAAGCCTACCTCTGTTGAGACGTTGAACTGCGCTGCTACGACGGCTGTGGCTGTCGAGAAGATACTGGATGTGAAAGCAACAACCATTGTTGTGTAGCCAAGGATCAACGCCGTCAAGAGTCTGGAACGGGCATGAGAAAAATTCCTAGCGACTCGAGATCAATTCACTTACTTCTTTCTCATGGGCCAATTCTGCGCATGTAAAGGATCATCCGGGCCATCGAACTCGACGACGTATTCCTCCTGTTCTGGAAGTAATGGCGGGTACGGCTTCCCCAGTCCCATCCCCGGAAGAGCTTTCTTTCTCTCCCTACTCTTGCTTGTGATGCTTCTTCCAACAGTCCCCGAGTGTTGGCTTTTGGCGGTTTGGACACGGCTCAGAACAGTAGGATGTCTCTCCAGATCGCGCTGCGTCGTAGCCAGACCTAGCAGCATCCCTTGACGCATGGAAGGGGCCCGCGAAGCCTCGGTGGAGGAGGTGTAGGCGGTAGGAACGCGTTCGATTTCATGGCTGGGACGGGGGCCGCAGAATCTTTCGGGGGAGGCATCGCGCTCATTGCGCTGCATAGTCATGTCGGCTTTGTTCATGATGGCGACGCGACGACGATCTCATGAATGGTGTTGTGTTGTGCTCAACAGTACAACAGCAGTCAGTACAAGAGCAGGACAAGAGCAGGAGAATAGCAAGACAATAGCAAGACAATAGCAGGAGGAAAAAAGTTCAAGTAGTCGGGCTGGAGAGATAGAAAGGCCGATGCCATGACCAGACGACAGGGCCGCTAATATACTATAATACCAGTTTACTCTAGCGCGAGACGGCCCCACTACTGGCACATAAGGCCGCCGATGATCCGTGACAAGCTTCTAACGTCCTTCTCTCTTGGGACTGATGACGTCGGCCAATATAAACAAATGATAATACGAGGCATGTATTGGTTCTACGTAAGAAATATATATTGTATGTAATCTATGTAATATATGTATTATATATAATATATATTATACTCAAACATCTTGCTCCGGTTCTCCGAGAGAGACGCGCAGCCCCAAGGACAGAAGTGACAAAAGCTAAATCGTCGCCCTGTCTGTCTACCTACTGTATCATGACATACATTCCGGACTACCCCGACGCACCCAACAGAGAGCCCCCGTAGAAACGGTTCTGCATCAAGGAACCCTTGCTTGGAGCCAGGAAAAACATCGTTACACCCAGCAAGACAGTGGAGAGAGTTTGGTAAGCACGACCGCCGATGAATAAACCCAATGCTTGTTTCTGCGAATCTTAACTCAAAGAAGGAAAAGTAAGGGGGGGGGCAGGGGGGGGGGCAGGGGAGGTCTTCTTTTCAATAGTCTTCTGCCCCTTCCCTCACAAAAGAGACGGTAATTGGACCGCCTAAATCCAATACTGTACTAAGCTTTTATCCACCAGCGGCTTAGCTAATACTGTAGTACTATAGTAGATCGTCCCAATGAAAGGGGCCGTCCCTGTCCAGATCTGGAAAACAAGCTTGTGAAAAAGCTCATTCGAGATGTTTATCTACCGGTACCGTAGTCTAGTCATCGTTTACACCTCGCGACTAATGCAAACACGAACGAACGTCCACAAAATAATGCTTGTCGAGCCGACATCGACCGGTACACCCAAGATGTGTCTTCGGTCTCGCGGCCACGGATTATCTATCCGATGCTTTCCAAGGGTTTGCGATCGGAAAAATAAGGACGAGGGGGAGGCAGAGGGGAAAGGGAAAGGGAAGCAGCAAGTTATTCGCTTTACTAATCATTATTCGCTTACCAATACAAGTTTTCCAGGACGGTTTTCGGTTTTCGGTTCGGGACAGGGACGGTCCCCAAACGCTCTTAAAACGCTTGGAGACGGAGACGGTCTTAGAATGGTCTCTCTGCAGAAAATACCGATTTTAATGAACTTGAACGACGATTTAATCAATGCAAACAGTATTACATCGGTAATAATCTTTTTACAAAAAAAAAAAAAAGACGGACTCTTACAAACGATAATCTCAATCGATTAATCGTCGGTTCCCTTAAATTTTAATTCGAAAGAATTGACCGACTTGCTATAGCAGGTCGGGATTTTTTATAAATTAAATTCAAGGTAACCGACGATTAAATGGGCAAAACTACGATTAAAATGATTTAAATCAGTGGTTTTGAGAATCTATTCGATCGTAGATAGAGACCTGAGGTGATCTACTAGCCATGCTAACCTCTTAAGACCGTCGTCAAAAGAGACCGTTATCGGATGATCAACTGACTGACTGTCCAGAAGCCTTAGTACCCCCCTGGGAGGTATGCTTTGAGCTTGGCGTGGAGAGTGCCTAAGCAAAACCTTGGATCCAAACAAGAATTTCCTCATCTCTCGAGTCCCGGACTTCCAAATCCAATTCGTTACCAAACTCCGAGGGTAACGCTAGTAGCAACAGTTGGCCATAGTCAAACGAACAAGAGGGTATCAGCAAATCATCGACGGCCAGTCCTCCCCAGGCCCCATCTTACTCTCTTCCCAGACTCTCCTTCACACCCCAACCATCCGCCAGCAGCGCACTCATCTCCTCCAAACTCATGCCCTTCGTTTCTGGATAGATAGTCCAGATAGCGATCCAGCCCCCGATGCATACGAGACTATAAATGGCAAAGGTCCAGGGAGGGGTGAAAAACACCATCATCGGCAGGAAGGTCAGACCCACGACGAAGTTTGCGCCCCAATTCGTGCTTGTCGAGATGCCTGACCCGAGTGACCGGACGTTGAGCGGAAAGAGTTCGCTCTGCATCCACGGAACGTTACCAAGGCCTAGGGCGTATGCTCCAACGTACAGCATGACGCTGACGAGCACCAGCATAGGCGCGGTACGTTTAGATAGTGGCACATCTTCCTGCGCGGCGGCTGAAGATGAAAAGTCGAAGGAGTCGAGATCTGCGGGCAGTTCAATGAAGACAAATCCAATAGCACACAGAAAAAGGCCAATCGCCATGACTGGAATAGACGAGAGCAGAATTCGTCGTCTGCCGATGCGGTCAATCAGGACCAGGGCGGCACACGTCATGACAAAGTTCGTCACGGCCACGACGAGAGAGGTCAACGTAGGGCTATTGAATCCTAACATGGTGAAAATGGTAGCGGAGAAATACATCAAGGAGTTCTGTTGCTGTGTTAGCAGAATCGTAGACACAGATTTTATGTACGTACGAAACCGCAGAGCTGCTGTAGTCCCTGCAATAAGCAGGCGATAGTCAGAGCCCTCCTGTTACCAGGGATTCTGAAGAGCTCAGCCCAGTTATCCTTCGATGCTGCAAGCCAGGAACTTCTTTCCTTCTTCGTCCGACTTCTCTGCCGTCCCTTCTTGGCCTCCGCTTCTTCTCGTACCTCTTCCTCGATACCTTTCAACACGCGGTCGGCCATCTTCTGAATCTCAGGCCCAGACCCAAAGACTTTGTTTAGCACGCTCCTGGCTTCGTCATTCCTGCTCACCATGACAAGCCACCTGGGCGTCTCAGGCATAATAACCATAGTGAGGATCTGAATGCCAGCAGGCAAAGCACCAAGTCCCACGATCCATCTCCAAGCGGTGTTTTCGTTTCCCCATTGAACAAATGCCCATCCCACGACATAAGCGACCACTTGACCAACTGTAATGAACAAGACGTTCAATGTCATCAAACGACCTCTAAATGGGGAAGGTGAGAGCTCGGAGATGTAGAGCGGTGCCGCGAAACTTCCCGCGCCAACAGCCAGTCCAACTACCGATCGGCCAACAATCATAAGAAAGACGGAGGACGATACTGCTTGAATGATGGCTCCGAGGACGAACGCTAGATCAGCCAGTAAAACAACCCGTTTCCGTCCCAGCCTATCAGCAAGGATGCCAGAAACCGGGGATACGAGCAGAGCAAAGAGTGCAGTGGCCGACGTAATGAGAGACTTGTCGAGCGTCGTTAAAGGATGCCCGAGAGAGCTATTTATCGACACGAGGGTTGCGGAAATGACACCGGTATCATCTGAGCCCTTCCCATCAGCGCTATCCTCCTAGCAGGCTATGAACTTTCCGACTCACAGCCAAACAGTAGTCCACTGATACCAGCAGAGAAAGTTAAGAGCCAGACGAAGATTCCGGGATTCCGAAGATTCTTCTCGAGCAGCGCGGAGACTTCGCCCAAGTCAACATCGTGGCTGGACTCAGTGTCGTTGGCGGACTCGTGTCGCATCAACGGCTCCTCAGCCGAGTCGGCCATGTCTGCAAGTGCTATGGAGTCGGGCGCCGTTGTGAGGTGGAAGATGGCTTTTTACGAGCCATCAACGAAGTCTTGTAGAAATGGGCATGTGGAAAGGGGAGTGGCATTCTTGAAGTCGGAGAGGAAAAGCTCGTGCGAGCCGAGCTGGACAAGGCTGACACAGCCTTGTCAAATTGAGGCATCCTCCTATGACAACCTCACCAGAGAGCACATCATGGGAGCAGATCGCGACGAAATCTTATCTCTAGTATCTCCCTCTGATTCCATCTGCTCACAGCTCGATACAGGGCTCGCGATCTGTGGCACAGACGCGCTATCACGTGTAAAGCTATTTTTACAGGGTACGGTTTCGCTAATTCAGCTACCAAGCTACAGCACATCTACCTACTACAACATGGGTAAACAACACCAAAGTTCACCCACCTGACATGTAAACAAGATGTCGAAAAAGCCTGCGAAAGGCGAGTACATCGAGACCGTAAGCATTGCGCTCTTTCAAAGACCACCACTCCTCTTCCACGTCATCCATCTACACGCAACGCACCAGCTTACACCTCCAGGATACCGGCAATAAAGTATCACGCCGCTCCCAGATCATCGGCACCACGAACATCATCCTCGGCGGCAAGACCGTCATCCAAGCCGAAGTCATCATCCGCGGCGATCTGCTGCGCACCTTTCCCGCCAGCAGTAGCAATCCGAGCGAGAAGCAGGCCAACGCGGTCGCGGTAGCCATCGGACGCTACTGTTTCTTCAGTCGGCAATGCGTGCTGCGACCTCCGGGAAAGATGTACAAGGGGTATGTACGCCGCCACTCAAGAGTCTGCATGATCGAGACAAGGACCCAGGAGGGCATCACGGAACCGGTGGCTAACGGGGCTGGCTTTCAAACAGGCAATTCTCACACTACCCTCTGAAAATCGCCGACCATGTCTTCGTGGGCACAGGATCCATCATCGAAGCCGCGCTTATAGGAAGCCATGTCAACATCGGGTCGAACTGTGTGATTGGCAAGTTCACGATCATCAAGGACTACGTCAAGATCATGGATGGGACCGTCGTGCCACCTAACATGGTCATCCCGAGTTTCTCCATTGTGGCTGGCCGACCCGGGCGAGTGGTGGGTGAGATCGCGGAAGGAGAGATTGATGGGATGGATTTGCGGGAGGTGTATCGGACTGTGGGAAATAACTGAAGGTGCTTGGGAAAGGGACGATCCGGTGGATGGTTGGAGTTCAGGCATTCGTGAAATGATACCCAACGCATTTGCAGTGTGGGTGGCTGTGAAGCACAACCATGGGCGGTTTGGGTTAGTCAGCTTTTTCCTTTTCTACTCCTCCTTTCTTCTTCTCAAGACGTCTTTTTTTTATGGGTATGTTTTATCGTTTCTCTCTTTTCCTGCTCGAGCATCCACCAAGTGTTGTCTACTGCGCCACCCACCTGTTCCTTGCTCCTCCTTAAGGAGATCTCAACCTCCCTCCGCGAGCCACAAAGCCAACCCAGCCCGCCAGCAACAGATGCACTCAATACACTCGGCCTGAGATGAAAGCCCTCCAAGTATAGCGGCCGATGATACATGCAATTCAAGTCATTCTCCTCGGGATCGATGACACGCCCCGCGTGATACCCCGATGATATTAATTTATGCCACGAAATTTTCTACTCATCCAACCAATCCCAGAACACCAGAACACCATTGCGCCAATGCTTCTAACTCATCTAATATCTGTGTCTATCCCAGATTCCAAAACCGATCCGTTGCTCCAGCGCTCGCTTTCCCACACTATCACCCAAATGGCCACCGTTTCCTGAGCCCGGCTCCCTTTCCCGTCGTCGGTTTTACAGAACCATTCTGTATGCCAACCATAACTATACTCGAGTCGAGCTTTCCTCAGAAACTAAACAGTCCGCTTCGTCTCTTTCCAAGCGGGTACACAATCAATGCACTGAGGAATAAGCCGACAGTGATCCCGATGGCGACCTGGATCATGGAATACCCAACGTTCAAGACAATGTTATTCAGATCTCCGGACGAAGAGCCAGGCAGCGTCACCTGTAATGGAGGGCGTCAGCAATCATTCCACTACCAATTTCATCCTTCACGTTCTGCAATACATAGCAGTAAAATCACGGCGTAGCTCGTCCATATGGTTTCACAAAGGAGAGTACCGGACACACCAACCGCAAGAGGCAAGGTGACATATGTCTTTCTCTTGCCCGCAACAACTTTAAGAAAGTGGTGGCCGAGACCATCGTGGATAAAACCTACCATACTGGTTCCATTGATCTTCGCAGTGCCATTCGAATATGTGGTTGTATTCGTGATTTGATCTGCAGTGCTGAGCCCCGCCAGCAGCGACCCCGAGGCCGCAAGACCTGACGGCACCTGCACGAAGATAGCAGGCAAGAGAGCGGCTGCCGCAACTCCATGGCGCATACGTGAGTAGAGATTTCCAAGAACCCCAACCGCAAGAGCCCCAAACGTGCTGGAGAGTTGTGCTGAAGAGGGGAACTTTTTGGCGCTGTGAAAGTTGACGATATAGCCGGCAAAGGATATGAGAAGCATCACCGGCATCTGCTTCCACTTTGCTTGGTTGATGATACACAAGCAGAGTGTGAATAATGTGACAAACAGCCACTTGGGGTAGTCGCCAACCGGGTTGGAGCAAGTCGTTTTGCTCGTGGCGTTGGCATCCATCAAGCCATACAGAGCAGTACCTATCGTGATGCCGTATCCAAGAAACAAGGAGTATATGATGGCATACACCATACGCACTGATCCCGCGACCATCGAGCGCGATTGCAATTCCAGAGACCCGCACAAAACCATGTAGCCAGGCAGGATGAGTGCGATGGACGACTGAGCGAGTGCAGAGAAGCAGAAAAGATCGCCCCCCCGAATTGAACCGAACGCACGGGCCAGGAAAGAGGTCAAGACGGCAGCCGAGATCTCAAAGACATTGCTGTACAGATCGGACCTTGGAGCGACGATGAGTTGGAGGAAGCCGAGGATAGAACCAAGCAGAAAGGAAATTGGCAAGTCGATGAGTCGGCCTTGGAACGCTGATAGAGGTGAGCACTGCAAGTTAAAGATGGACGATTATATGGACTTACCGAACGGGGCGACACTGGCGCTCGCGCAACCGTACACGAAGACAAGAGCCCAAGGGTTATTCTTGGGCTTACTGCTGATGATAGCGCCCAACCTCTGCGTGGCTTCCTCGACCCCGACGACGTCGTGCACGACTTCCTTGTAAATCTCGTGGATGTCCTTTAGCTTCCCCAAGTCAACTCCTTGTGATGCCTTCACAAGTTTAACCTCGGTCGTGTGGGTCGATACATCGTCGAAAGAGATGATCATACATCCAGGAATATAAAGAAATTGGCCATCAATCTCCAGTACACGAGCACTCATCTTCATGTATTCTTCAAGTCGATGCGTTGGGGCACCGTAGGACATCAGAGCCCTGCACAGCTTGAGTAGATACTTTTGCCGACTGAGTGTCTCTGCGATGTGGACGGTAATCCTAATTTCGTCCTCAAGACGGGGTCTGCCACCGATTGTCCTCATTGCAGTGTCGAGAAGCTTTCCACTTGGCGACCTCGCGCCCATCCCAGGACGCGTCCGTTTGGGAGCTCTTGCCCCTCCCTGGGCTCCCAAGATTGCCGATGCCTCGATGAGTCCGGCCAGGGTGTCCTGAGATTGCTGCTTGTGGTTGTACCACTTAGCATGCTTCGTACGTGGCGTGGTAGCCCCGGATGAGCCGCCATACTGCGAAGGACTCCCTGTGGTCGAGGCATTGCTTTCCCTCCTCGACTGATTTCCTGGACTATCTGCAGGAGGGTTGTAGAGCTTCAAAAGAGAAGACAGAACACCCCCACGGTACTGCACGGGTCTTGGAACGTAATCATGCGCATTGCGCTCGTGGGTCGGCGTCACCTGACCAGAAACGAGTCCTGGCGGAGGCTGAGTGGGAGCCTTCCAGGGGTTCGCATTGAGCTTCCTCGTGAGAGTTCTCACCGGCTTGTGAGCTTCGGCGCTGCTATAGAAATTGTCTGGCTGGTTGTCGAAATCCTCCCCCTCATCGCTGTCCAATCCGGCTCCATCGTAAGCGCGCCGGCCGTCCATGTCCACGAGGGGAATATCATCAATCTCCACCGGATAAGCTGTATTCCGGCTGGAACGGCGGGGACGGCTGGGACGAGGCCGTGCAGCCTCATCCTCTGTTTCTTCGTCCAAGCTGCCTCTCCTCGAGGCAGGCGCAGAATGACTTCCTACCAGGGACGCCACCCGTTGCGCGCGCTCTTGAGCTGCCAAAGCCGAAAAGGCTTTCTCGTTGAGCTCTGTAACATCTTCGAAAGCGCCGTTGCTAGTGTTGGGCTTGGGGTTGTGATTGAGATTGGAATTGACCCTTACAAGGCTTGGTCTCGGCGTGAAAGCCGCAGTGCTCGCAGTGCTTTTTGGCGTTGAATAATCTTGGAAGGGATTAGCACTCTCAGTCTCAGACCTCCTGAGCAGAATGTTTGTGCTGTTGTTCCTCGAATGGGCGGGACTTGACTTGGCCTGAGGGGGTACCGCGACTGCGGCTGCGAACGGGTGTGCTAGTAGGTCGGCGAACTGCAGTGGAGTAGAAGGGTCTCGCAAGGGAAACTTGGACTTTTGATTTTCAGCATCGTTGGCTTCGCTCGTGCTATTGAACCGGACTCTGCTCCTCTTGTGGGTATGTGCTGGGCCTGGGCCTGAGGAGGCAGAGGCAGAGGCGGAGGCAGAGGCAGCGGCAGCGGCAGCGGCAGAAGCAGATGGCCCTCCTGCACTTGAAGGTCGGCTGTTTTCCGCACTCGTCTCCTGGCTGGGCTCTTTGCTCGAAAGTTGAATGTAATCATGTGTAGCAAGACCGCCCTCACTCGGGGGCTCGAATTCGCTTGACATGCCCGTGAATGTATGTATTTCTATGTGAGTGTATATGCGTGGATATGTGTGTATATAGGTGTGTATATATACGTAAGTGTGTTTGTGTAAGTATATCCAGAGGTGTCTGATCGGGTGGAATGGTAGAAGGGTCAGCAGATGGAAGGCGGAGTAGGGGGATCAATGATGGATATCGGACAGGGGGAGAATGGGGGTGTTTTTTTTTTGGTGGTGGTCTGCTCTGGCTTAGCAACCAGTCCAGTCCGGTCCAGGCTAGGTCCACGCCATTGATAAGAACGGGTAACGGAAAGGCGATAACAGCATCGTTGTTGGGGCCGAAGGAATGAACGAACGGTCACGTCGACGACGACGACGCGTTAATAGTTGCAGCAGTAGAAAGGTCGAGAAGGGTGGACGGGTGTTTCTGCGTTCTTTATGCTTGACGACCACCAATCATCGGATGTTGAAAAAGCGAGAGTATCGCCAATCATCGCCAATCATCGTCCGCGAGCTGGGCCCCATCCGGAGTACCAATACCGGGACACCGGTATATGATAATTCGTATACCGTGAAGCCCGAGCTGCAAGTACCGGCAACGAGGCAAGGCGAGACCAGGCCAGGTAAGGCAAAGCATGGCATGGCATGGCATGGCATGGCATACTCTTTGTACTTGGTACGGGACTCGGGACTCGGGAGATAAATATGGAAGATGCACAGACAGAAGAAGCACAACTTCCAAGACAAGTTGGGCTGAAGCTCACTAGCCAAGCCCAACAGTGGAAACAAGTAGCGACGTCCAATGAATGAATGGGTCGGGTGGGTCGGGGTGGGTCGGGTGAGTCGCGTATTGGAGTGGAGCCCCCAATGCCGTCGTAAACCGATCGGATTGTGAATAATATTAGTCAGTGAATCAGTCAGTCAGTAGTCAGTCAGTAGTCAGTCAGTAGCAGAGGTACCGGTACTTCGTAGACGGCTCGAGGCTCCAGTGCTCCAGTGCTCCAGTGCTCCAGTGCTCCAGTGCCCCAGTGCCGGTCAGGAATAAGAGCGACCGGATCGTTCAACGCAACCACAATCACAACCACAACCACAACCACAACCACAACCGAGAGTAGCGGCTGAAACGCTCAGATAGTGCCAGGTTCTTCACATGGTTGCTTCCGAACGCACGTTCGGCGACCCACGTGGGCCGGGGATTCGACGCATTGCCGCCGTCGTACGTAGTAGGTGAGGAGAAAAAAAATTTAAAACCAATCCCTGAAAAAGAGCACATGGAGTGAAATCAATAGCTGCCCGACGAGGTTTATTAGATTGTGACATGTCGCCCCGTCTTGGAGATGGGCATGCTCCTGGTTAGGCGATGTCATTGAAATTACTCCCACCGGAAAAGCTGTGAGGTAACGAGGAAATTCAATATCACTCACCGGAAATCCAGATTCACTCGCTCACAGTGAAGGCCGGCGCCACCATCAGGACATGTTTCCTAGCTCCCCCCCTCAGCCCCCCAGCAACGCCAGAATTTTTCCCTCCTCGTCTTCCCCGTCCAGATCCATCTCTGCCCCTTCACCCCTTTCCTCCAGCGCCCCGACTCCTCTCTCGACCCGTAACATCAACCGTCGCATCTTCTCCAGTTCGACCTCCACCGCTCCATTCCGCGTCACTAGATTCTCCTGCACACCCGCATCTTCCCCGAGCAAACCAACCAAGTCCCTCATCCTCCGATACCTCTCCACTCTCTCCCGGGCGACCCTTCGCTGCTCATTCAGAGCGGTCAATCGCTGTTGTAGCTCCGCGTACTTGGCAGCTTGCTCGGGGGCTTTGGTGGATGCCTCCTCGCCCCATGCCTCCGGTAGCTGCTCGATGACAGATTCCTCGCCTGCAGATCTGATCAGCTCTCATCCTCCCCACAGTCTGCACAGCGAGAGTGGCGAGTCGGATACGCACGGTAATCGGCGCCCCTCTCCGCCCAGTCCTCACCAACCTTCACCCCTCTCTCCCCCGCATTCCAATACAGCATGTCAACTTGCTCGGCAACATGTCTCTGTGCCTGCGGCCCGTACGCCAGCTTGTTGTGCTGCTTGAGCTGGTGGTTCAGCTTGAGGAGCGCGTCGTCGATGGCTTTTTGGCGGAGTGCGTTCTCTTCGGCGGAGCTGTTGGAAGCTGTGAATGTGGGCGAGGGGCGAAGGGGTTGTGAGAGGAGGATGATCTGGGAGCGGAGGAAGGCGGTCTTCAGATCGATAATTGTAGGCGTACTACCAACCATGTTCGGAGTAGGGCTTGAGAAGTCTGGCAAGTTGGGAGATCAAGAGGTGGTTGACTGTGTCCGAGAGGTTGCGGTTGCACGCGTAGATGGGAAGTGGTAGACGCGACTGCCGACATAAAGCCGACTAGCGCAGGTCTGTAGCTTCCTGGCCTACCGTATTTTGGCCATATTCTCGAGCGACCTAGTCGTTCCGCTTGTAGATGTTGCATTTTTGGTGTGTTACGTGCTCCCCACTACCGGTAGTCTCTGCTTTTTGCACGTCACAGTCAGTCATGTCTACTTTCCGCACTTGCAGCCATGATGAGAGAGCCTAGTGATGCCTTGAACGTCAGTGCTGTATCACCAGCAAAGCTAGACACGACCAACGAAGAAGCGCAGCCCGACTAGAGTTGATCTGTCTTAGAGAGATGACCCGGTGGGCATGTGAGGCAAATGCAGTGAGTGCTGTAAGACGTATGGAGCCATGCGATTCGGACCCACGATGCTGGCTAGCTTTGGTCCAGTCGAGGCCGATCTCGTCAAAATTCAAAAGTCAGCCTACTCTCTCGCTTCGGGCGCCTTTCACGCTGGGCTTGAAGGGCCAGGTGGTAGCGTAGCACCTACCAAAGTCCCAATATCGTCTGAATGTATATGACTATCTAGCCATAGCTACAACCACTCGTCACTCATCCGCATACCCAGCCTCACTCGCGATAATCATGATCGATCTCGTGGCTAAAATACGTACTAGAGTTCGAGAAGATCGATAGTTTGGCTGTCATCTCGCAGCTGGTTGCAGCATCCATCTCCTACGAGTAGACGGTAATGGTTATCTAACTGGTCGCAAACCATTCAGAAGCAATCCGTCATCCTCTGTCGGCTTGAAGCTCTCCTAATCCCCAAAACTACGACCTTCGGCTCAGCCTTGACGATATTTCCAACGGCCGCGAACAGCCAGCCCGTCGACTCGTACCTGTTAGTTCTAACCCAACATTAGATCAGATCCCGGACGCCCTTCGCTGGCTCGATTCGACGCAGGGACTCTTGTCATATTCGAAGAGAACAGCTCTGAAGCTTTTATCATAACTAGTCAAATTGAGACTGAAGTATTTTCCTCTGCCAGATGCGTCTCGTATGGATGATTCATCTACGTCTCCCTCTCATCGCAGCGTATCCTACCTTCATCGTCAACTTCTCGTGATGCTTAGGCATGACGAACTGTCGAGGGCGATAGCCAAAAATTCATCCAGTTCGGTTCCATCCAATCGTGGAGCAGCGTATGAAGTGGTAGTCTGCAACCTATCAACCGGAACGTCTACGCAGTGCTCCAGTCTGACGCTTCTCTGTATTTCCGTGTAAGTTGAGTGTAGGTAACTGCTAGCGAGCTGGCCAAGGCATGTAGAACTGACGGGCGGTTTCGAGGAACTTGAATAACTACCACTTAGTGGATTTCGGAAAGCAAAGCAGTGAGGGGCTATTCTTGCGTTGTTGCACACTATCTCAAGGTTAGTGTGAGACTCTATACAATGGGCTATATCTTATGTGCGGCGGGATGTATTAGGACACAGCTAGGGCTAGCTTTGAGATCATCATCGAAAGCCGCGCTGCCGCTTTAGCCAAGTCGATGGGTCAGCGCCGTGTCGTTTCCTTTGGCGCCGTTAGGTCACTCGCAATTCTCTGTGAACAGAGTCAGCAGCATGCGCATCATCACCTTCGTAGTTGCCGAACGGATTCGGAAACCTGTCAACCTTGGCTTGTCGTTAGCTGAATATGTAAGAGAGTAACAATATCAATAGTTTTTCTGAGGGCTAAGACAAGAGACCGCTACGAGTTCCACGGCTCAGCCTAGATATCGTATCTTTCATTTGATCTTTGGTACGATGGAGTAAGGATCCACATCCGATCAAAGAATAATTGGTTGCGAGTAATGGGCGTAAGGGCGGTACGTAATACCTAGGTGATAGCATGTGTTCTCCTGGTCAGTAAAGTCGCTGCAGACTCTACATCCTCGTATCCGTCTAGTTCGGCGTTACCACACTAACCAGGCTGGTAACTGTTCCCGTTGCGTCTTTTCTGCTCAGACGTTCCTCGCAGTATAGCCGATCAGACTGCCGCCAGAGCACAACCAGGTAAGTGTTGTCGCAGCATGGCTTATTGACAGCCACTCTCGGAAAAGATCCATTGGACGATTACTCGCTGTTTCGCATTTGTGTAGTAACATTTGAAGTCTTGCTCACAGAGGCCTGGGTTGGTCAAGTACCGGAATAAGTAGGGGACCCTTCTCGCAGAGTCCACCCTTGGTCATCTAAGCGAAGCACCCGCGAGTCCTGGCTTTCTCGGTTTTCGATCCTCTAGATTGACGCTTGATGCTCCTGTCAACTCTTCGCCTCGAGCACGTGCGGTAGGTAGTATCGCTGAACTCCGTTCGGCAGATACACTCACTGCAGTCGGTATCTTCTTACCGTATCCCTAAACTACCGGAATCAGATTGGCATTGGGATCGGCAATGGTATCTGGAGAGAGCAATCTTAGTGCGCTGTGGTGTTATGAAGAATATTTAGCCTCACGAAGCACGTGGTGATGCTCTGGCTTGGATAATGCGTCTTGATCTTCGGACAGTTCTGTGATTGCAATTATCACTATAAGGGACTCTCCCCTAAATCTGTATTGTAGAATTATTAAGGCTGTCACAGAAGAGAGGCGAGAAATTGGCCTGTGTGTATAGGTACCGGTATACTTACCTATCCAGCGCCTTGGTGTCCATTTTCTCAAACCTGCCCGATTAAGAGGCGGACACGTGGTCCAAGCAGCAACTACTCCTCTCACTCATCCACAGCAAGAAAATCTGCGTAAACAATATAATCGAAAGGACTGAAGCACGCGTATTCGTACCAAGGAAAAGGACAGCTGTCACGTTTATCTGTACAGAGTAGCGGTAACTGGATACCGTATGCACACGCTGCGGGTGTTTGAGGTAGTTGCTAAGCACTTCTACTACTGTACTTGACACCCGGTAATAAAATGAAGGCTCAGCAGGTCAGGCGGATAAGGGACGGACCACCACCTGCACTGTGACATTTGTAAAGTAGTTAGTTGTATTTTGAGCCGAATCGGTATCCGTAAGGGGAATTTAGATCGAGAATCCACGTCGCGTCGTGGAAACAATCGGGTTTCGAAATTTCCTTCCCGGCGGCCCGCGGTCTTGCAATGATGTCTTGGGGGTTTGCGAATCGATCTTGTACTACTATTATTAAGTCTGGTGCAGATCGACCAAGGGAATTTTAAAGAGACGTTGGTTATAGAGACGCAGGGCGCATGCGGGATTGTGAAGGGAAGATCTCATGGGGGTGGCAGTAAGGCATATTTATATCATATATAGGTGGGTATGACAGCGGAGACGAGTCTGACATTTGACTCAAGTTCCTGTACGACATTGCCAAGCGCGATCAGGAAATAGTTGTAGATAGTAGTACTACGTATCTTCGTTAATGCTAACCATCGCTCAGAAGAACTCTGTCGATATTCCAATGACGCACTCCGTAGAGTTTTCCCCCGTTTGCTTGATGACTCCGTTGTACGGAATTGCATTAAATTTACGAGTTTGATTGAAAAGTTATCTCTACTACGTATATTCCAAAACGAATTTTAACGCTTTAGATTTGATTTATTGATACATAAACTAACCCCAAAAGGTTAAGAAGCTTATCACATTACTTCTTGACATGTATTAAACTTAGGAAAGGCATCCATTGCGAAACATTCTACCACATGTTCCCATTACAATATCGTTACGTACTACTATCTCGATCTCGAGAAGCTCCATAATGAAAATAGTAAGGTCGCGTCGTTATTGGGTATTGTTTGGAAGATTGTTTCGAAGAAGTTTCAAGATCAGCCAGAAATTTCCAAAATTGCGGCCTCAGGATTGCTTATTAAGCATATGTTGGCGTTCATCACTGGTTAACGCTTAATGGTCGATAAAGTTAGCAATCTTATTACTTATCACCACCCCCCCCCCTAAAACAACGTAAATCCATTCGTGCAACCTTACCGGAATCCCCTTGACTTTCCGAAGAAGGGGGGCCGGAACGGTGCAAATTATTCGTCCTGCAGAATTAAGTCAAGGATATGTTAACGGTACTTCGGCGTCGGTGGCCCGATGCCTTTGCACCAGATCAGAACTCTGTCCTTCCGAGTGGCCAGTGGCTACCGCCAGAGATTTTAGGAGGCATGAAGGAAGGAAGGTCTACATACACTATGGAGTCTGTGGAGTACGTACAAAGGACCGTTCCGTAGCGAGAAAAAGTCAAAAGTCAATAAACCCCGAAGAGTCAGACGGCCAAGGCCTACACAATGGGGGAGGGAGGAAATACATTTCTCCGGCACTCGAAACTTTTCGTTTCTTTCGTTTCTCTCGTTTCTAAATACGGAGACGAACTGTCAAAGGGTCTGTCTCTCCGTGCAAGGAAATCCAGGCAATCGAATGCCATGGCGTATCTGTTTCTCCCCGGGCCCCGGCGGAAATTGGATCGCATCTCAGAACAGCCCTACCTATCTATCTACGGGTGTCCACCTGCACACGGACGGGCACCAAGAGACAGACACCAAACGAATTCCAGGTCCGACAAGATGAGGGAGAGGGGCAAGTAATTTAATAGAGTAGCAAGCAGTCGTTTATCTATATTTGTTTATATTACAGTGCGGTGCAGTAGAGGTCGTGCCGTGTGCTGTATTGAATCGCTGCCAGAAATAGATTACCAAACATTCGAATTCGCAGCCCTATGTGCCGGTACCGGTACTGTAGGTGGATCTAGCATTCGAAAGAGGATGGCATGGAGAGCACGTTTCGCGAGTTTCATCTCTCTTCAACGTCTCTTTTTCCCATTCCATTTCTTCGATTTCTTTTCCATACACCGCTTGGCGACTGATATAAGGATGCTGAGACAAGCGCGCACTGACGAGAGTTACCAACTTCTGTACTCATCCTGCCTTCGGACCAAGTACTGTAGTAGTAGTAAATGCTTTACTTAGTACTTTACTGTAAGACCGGTACTGGCCAGTATCGAATCCCTGAAGGGATCTTCTTCCAAAAGTCTCCGTGTTTGAGAGTGACGTTGAACGACAGCAGGGGGCAGGTGTTACAGATAAGTTGTAGAACGAGTGGTAGAAGTAGAAGTCGAAGTTCCGGTATTCCCTGCCTCTCTGTTCTACCGGTACTACGTAAAATACGGAGCGGAGGAGGACGTTGCAGGGTTCAACAGGCTCCGTCGTCGAGCTCATGCAGTTTGCTTTCTTTTGTGCCCGCTGCTCCTCCACTTTACTACTAGTTACAGTAAGATGCGAGTGGCAAAAGAAGTCCTTCCAGAATTGAGAAGGCTGGGATGGATAACAAGCTTCCACGCGCCCTGAGATGCAGCCCTCCTGCCACAGCACGTCGACTGGGTTGCGCCTTCCCACGATACGATGCATCATTTTCGGTCCGTAGCAGAGTACCGTCCCAGTACCGGTCGAGGTACCGACCCGTCGACCCTGGTGTCACGTGTGACGTGGTTTGGCGGTCGTGTCTGCAACCGTAGCCTACCGTCCGTACGTCCGGGCTGGCAAATCCGTAATCGTAATACCGGTACTACGTATGTAAGTAGTATGTTATCAGTGCGCAGGTTAAATAAATTAGATAATTTGTTTCGACCTTGACATGTTAATACCGTATGAACGCGAAGCGAGGGTGAGACTTGAGACTCGACTGCCGGCCGTGGAAGCGAGAAGTTTATTGAGAGACAACAGAAACAGAGACAAAGTGCGGAGGAAGCTCCCCCTTCCCAACATAGAACACAGCACGGGCAAGGCCACTTGGTGGAGATAGTAGTATACTGCTACCTACGACCGGTCCTAAGTAGGTACTCTGACCGTGGAGCCTCCCCGCTTATCAAAAATAGGCAGATGACGTGGGTTTATTATAATTATAAAAATTAGGAGCAAGGGACTGTGCCGGCTCTTCAATATCACGAAGCTTGAACCTGCGGTTTGCTCCAGGTCTCGTTACTAATTCGATCAGCTCAAGGCCGCTTCTTCGACCGGACGGAATACCGGTTACCACTATTCGTGGTATGACTGGACTTGCTTTCGGTATGGGTCGATTAATACCGTAAGTGTTTCCGGATCTGTAGACTAATGACAGGATTGACAGGTAGAAGGAGTGGCGACCAACGGTTACTCCGTTCTTGGGATAGGATAGGCTAGGGCAGATGATGACTGAGGCGGCTTGAAATAGGGTCGAGCACTGCTTCTGTCTCGGCATCAATGCAGCGGGAAGTACATGATCGGTAATAATAGAAATAATAGAAATAATAGGAATAATAGGAACACCGTAGCAATACGGAGTGGTTGTAGGTACAGTAATGAAAATGAAGATCAGGGTCCTGACAGCATCAGCGTCGGCCACTCTCCTGCATCTGGCCGCCCTCGCATCCTCATCTTGACCTCTGCCCTCTGCCCTCTGCCCTCTTGGGCTCTCGAGTCCTCACTGACTAGACCAGTCAGTCACGAACAGCCCCCTCCCCGGTCCAATGCCTCCGTAGTCCAGCCTAGTCCCAGCCTAGTCCCCCGTCTAGTCCCCCGTCTAGTCCGACTAGCCCGCCTACGTACTGTACTTGTACACTTACGGATAGCCCTGACTACCGTACGTACGTACTTGGTATTATACCTTTTTATCCTTACCCTTATCCTTACTCCGTGCAGTAACCCTTACCCCTGGCCCCTGCCCCCCCGGCCCCCCTGCCCCTCAGATTCGAATCCGCCTTCCCCCTTTGAGCCTTAGCGCTGGCCCTCCGAATCCTTTCTGCCCGCTACCGCCCACCGCCCTCCGCCCTCAAGACCTAATAACCCCCATCCCTTCTCTCCTGCTTCCATCTCTCTTCTTTCACCACACCCGCACTATACCGCCTTTCTCTTCCTCTCTTCTTGTTGTCGTTGCCACCACCGTCGTCGCTGTCAGTCGTCCACGCTACATCCATCTTTGTGCTGTCCCTGTATCCGAGTGATATCTATCTTTTGGCCTACTTTACGTCAGTAGATCGAGAGTTGAACTTCGAGACTGGACTTCGTTCGACTTGTTTGCCCACCCGCCCGATCCAGCATCGCCACCTCCCTAATTGTTCGATTCCTCCTCCACCCACCCCCCCCAACCACCCACTCCGCCTGCTCCCAGTCAACACCGTTTCGATCGAGATTAGCTCCAGACTCTCTCGATTCTTTCTAGCCGTATGTTATCATGTCACCTCATCTTCTGGCCCTTTAACCCAACTGACTCTTGGCCCAGATCACCAACTTTCGCAATCCTCCACTAGTCTCTTTGTTGACAGCAGAGCAATCCTCCTCCCCCTTCCGCCCTTCCACCCTTCTCTGGATTTAGCATTCACGTCGAATTCCTCTTTGTCACCCTGTCCATTTTCTTTACGGTTCATCACCGCCCCCACAATACGCACTCCGCGACACGTTCACTTTTGCCGCCTTTCTGCACTCATCTTGGATCATCAAAAGAAAAGTTACTCATAAACTTCTTTCGGGACCCTCCACTGCCGCCTGCTCCAAAGGCTTGCCTCCTATTCTGCACCCACCAGCACTACGACTTGCACTGCGTAATCCTTTTGTCCAACCACAAACGCAATTTCCGATTGGCTCAATCGACTCTATAATTCCTCTTAATACCTTCAACTCTACTCTACGTGGAGTTTTCATCACCCGAGCGACTGCGATTCCTCGACCACACGCGCTGCTCCACGTTCCTTTGGATCAACACCACACCACCTGTACAGCATCCAACCATGAGTGTAGACGCAGGCGGTCTTGCTCAGATGTCTTACAACAGCTTCCCATCCAGCAATGCCCTGGGCATGCCTGGCTCTGGCTTTGCTTCCCGACGGGCTAATGGTAACAACATCAAACGTCTCTCTTTCGAGCCCTCGAAGCCTTCTGACTCCCAAGACAATGGTGCTCCTACTCCTCGCACATCGCGATCCCACCTCCTTGCGGGCTTGAGAACGGCCCCCAAGTCGGCCACTTCGAGCACGTTTCCGTCGACTGCCCCTCCTACCCAGCTGCAGCACAACACGGGGATTGCAGGGGGCATCTTCGCGGAAAAGGAGTCTTACGCCGTCCCCAACACAGGCAACAGCTTGGGTCAGCGGAACGGCTTCGGCCAGATGAAGCAAACGAATGAACAGATGTACCCTGTCCCAGAGCAGATCCTTGCACCGCCAGAGATTCTGGTCGATGCCCATGAACAGGAGCAGATGGACCCAAATTTGTACGCTCAACTGGTCGCCACGAACATGTACCTTGCCGAGCAGCAGCAGCGTCTGCAGCAACAGCTTGCCAGCGTCCAAGCCGCCGCTCAGCAATTCCAGGGCTTGAACATGGGAATGCAGCAACAGCAGTTTGCTACCCCTCCAATCACCCCGCAGAACATGTATCAGCAGCAGGTGAAGAATAACATGCAGCCCATCATTACTCCTGTGATGGGGCAGCCTGGAGTCTACTCGCACTACAACCCAATGACTGGGGTTCAAAGCTACTTCATGGACCAGACCCAGCAGTACATGGATCAACAGGCCGTGCAGCCACAGGCCAGCTTCACCCCACCGGAGCAGCACGCCACACCGCGATTCCAAGTTTCGCCCCCTCCCCGGTCTGATGTACCCAAGTTCAGCAGAAGCATCAGCCCTCCCAAGAAAACGTCGTCCCCTCCTCAGGATCACGCACCATTGCCACCACCATCGGCAGGCGCTTTCCGCCGTGGCCACCGCAAGTCAAACTCCATAACCTTGAGTCTTGAAGGTGAAGCTCCTCTTGACGGACCTCGATCGGCATTGGGTCCAAAGACAGCAGGCTTTCCCTCTACTCCAGCATTTGGGCCAGGCCAAGCTCGTGCCGGTGAGCACCCAGTCCGCCAACCACGCGGTCCACCATCGTTGGAGGACTTGATGGCCAAGCCGACGGCGAAATTTGAGGGTAGCAAGAACTTTGCTACACGCACTCGCCGAAGCGCCGTCCACAACCTTGTCCGTGCTGGTATCAACCGCAGATCTCCCGGAAGTGCGGGCTCCGCAAGTATTTCCCCTGTTTCGGAATCATTCTCCGTTTCAGACAATGACTCGGACAGCGGTCGCAGTAGAAATGGAAGTGGAAGTCTTACCGGTCGACCAGCCCTTGGAAGCCCTCGCACCTCGATCCACGGCGCCATTGGCTCTGAGCGTCCTTTGTCTCGCTCCAAAGATCACTCAATGGAACGAAAGTCGGTTGCATCGTTGAACAGCAGCTCCACCCCCGCAAGCAGTGGAGATGAGGGGTCTGGCGGTAGCTTCGCGGCCGCTTTCAAGAACGGAGTCAAGAAGTCTGACGCTCTAGTCTCGGGTCGAAAGTCTCCAATGTTCGTTCTCGCTTCCGCGGCTGAGAAGCGCAAGAGCTGCCTCTCGTCAGGGCTCTAAATTTCGTCATTACGGGGTAGATCCCTGATCAATCGACGTCCGATCATTCATTGTCCTTGTCAATTTGATATTGCATTCGACTTGTGCATATTGCTGTGCTCTACTTTTACGATCAATGACGACAAAGTTATTGGTCATTAATTCGACGTTGATATACACACCAGACATCCAGCTTTCCTTCTCCTCTCTTCTATTTTTGGGGGATATCCAAGGCTAGAGGGTGTGCTTTGGGGTATGATGTTCCGGCAGTCCTTTGGATTGTATTCATTGCCTGTCGGGGTTGCTTTGGCTTGGGGTGCATGTTTTATTTCCGGCGTACTGCTCGTCCTCTTCGAAGGTGGCTGACCGGAGACGCTCTTTTGATAGGATGGAAATTGTCAAGATTTGAAACCAATAGCCTGTCTCCTTTGCTGGGTATGAGAGAATGAGGGTCTGGGGATTACATTACTTGGAGCTGCCATGCCTCTCATCGCATAGGCTCGAGCTCGATAGATAGAATAAGACATAGCGTAGCAACCCAGACTAACTTCATGATATGAATAATGCTCTCTCTGCAAGACTAAACTCTTTGATTGTGCCAAAAGCCGTGCGCCATAGATGTGGAGGAAAAGCGGAGAGGTGCCCGAACGCTTTGGGCCCACCTGCTTGGTCGGTCTGTTCCAATGTAATCAATCTAAACTGCCATATGTTCCGAAGAAATAGCATTCAATTGCCTGTACCCTGTCGAATTGCACAACTTCAGACTTGCGTAATGGACGCGCTGTAATAACAGTATGATAACAGTATGGTGAAGTTCAAGAGGGCGAGTGGCTCAAGTAGTTTCAATAGGTAGATGGAGAAAAAAAAAAAGACAGAGAGAGAGGATTCTCATCGTTCTCTATCTACAATTATCGCGACGGGAGTGGAGTGCTTCAACACGCTGCCCATCTCCTTCGACCATCGCTCAAAGGGTAGCAGGTAGTAGAATCAGACTGGTTTCTCTACGTAGCAGGAAAACCACCTTCTCACTACCTAGTATACGGTACGAACGAAGACCGTGGGGGAAGTTGGAAGGAAGCAAATCCTTCTTCCCATGTCTAGCTACCTTAGGTAGCGCAACAGTCGACCGGGTCATTGTACATCTCTCACACACAGACTACTTTGCGCGTTTCAACAGCGAGCTTTCCGCATACTCTTTTCACGCCGGCATCGTGGAGAAGGAAAGTCTTCATTGCGGCCGGCCTGGTGATGGATGCTTGAGAGCACATGATCCGGCCTCGGGGATTTTTTGAGCACGGAGAATGTTCGACCGTCGATGAGTGGAGCGGGACGGGACGGGGGAGTGGGGGTTGGGGTTGGTTGGGGGAGCGGGGCGGAAGGTTTGCGTGCCAAGAATCTCAGATCACCCCGTGTCAGGCTCTCGGCCTCTTCCCCTTCGGGATCTCAATGCAAGATATGCTTCTGTGAATCTCTGCCATGCGCACAGTCATGCCTTCCAGAACCGCAGCGGCTGGCTATCCAGACCGAGAGGAACTGTGCGAACGAACCAATATATGCGATTCAGCGACGACTACGTCAAGCAGCATGAAGGCAGTGAACACTTAGCAATCAATAACACCCGCACCCGTCGTCTGCTGGTACGGCGAGCGCTACATACCACCGCGAGATTCTTCATCCCGCAACGGGACATGCTTCCCGATCTCGAAGCACTAGATCGTCAAGCCCGGACGGACGACACACCTGAGCGAGGCAGCAGCGATGGGATTCGTGGCTCGGAACACATCGACCCCCGTTCCAAAAGTATATTGTTCATTCCTGCGCCAGGGCCGAGCGTGCATCGTAATTGAGCGTATTCAAGGGGAGACTTTGGCACATGCCTGGGGCCGTCTGGTCAAGGAAGAATCTCTGCAGAAAGGTCCTCCTGCAGCTGAAGCAGATGGTCCAGGAACTGAGGGCTCTAAAACCACCGCCTGGCGCGGGAGTAGAGAGGTGTGTCGGAGGTTCAATGATTGACTGCCGCCTACCGCATGGGACTCCGCGCTTTGGGCCTTTCAAGACAATTCAGGACTTGCACCGATGGCTCAGAGATGGCTATGAGGGACCGAAAAGACGTGATGACCTCACAGAAGAAGAGACGGTGGGTGGTAAGCCGTTCACAGAACCGGGGTTCAGTACCGTTGGAATCGATGGTTGCAAAACAGGAGGGCCCGTGGCCACCTCCAGTATCCACACATGGTGATCTGAATCTTTTTAACATTATATACCGGTAGTCCGCGGGGATCAGACTGTTAGCATTGTCGATTGGGAGTTCTCTGGCTGGTATCCGACCTACTGGGAATACACATTTGCGTGGCTGGGAACTATCATGAGATGCGAATGTCGCGATACTCTTCAGTCATTATTGAAGCCATAGCCAGAAGAATTGGTGATGGAGCAAACGCGCGCGACGTGGTGGAGAGAGTGGTGATTATTTGATTGGGCTTCGTCGGAATGCATGTCTGATTCAAGGAGCGGCCTCCCTCCCTTCCAGTAAATCATACCAAGGTCTTGGTCCCTGCAGGACCTCTGAAGTCTGGTATCTCGGTATCGCCCTGCTGTAGTCTTTCCGGCCACATACTCCCTCGTGAACGCTTCAATCCCCCCCCAGGCCAACATCGAAGTAGGTACCGACACACCTTCCACTGCTCTCAATGTCTCCCAGTGCATGCTCCATCTAAGTTCGGCATCTTCATTCAGGGTCCAAATTGTTGACCGGGACATTGTACAGGAGGTTGAACAGGCGCTGGTCGTCCTCGAATTTGGCGATGAGGACTCGTGCGAGTACCGGTAGCGTATTCGTGTTGCGAACATCACCAACCTCCCATCTACCACCCTCTCCTCCTACCTGTGGGGAGTTCCTCACATGATACCGCGTTCCGGGGACGTGTTCTCCTATCTCCGCCTTGGGTCCTCTCAAGAATGCCCAGTAATACCTGATACCTGACACATGAGCAGAATTCCAATACTCAGGAAGGGCAGACCAACATATTTCCTCTCCTCGTTTCTGACAACTCCACTGGCATACAGCGCAACTTATCGACGGTTCTTGTTGCAAGGCATCTTCCGCCTTTGCGACGACGAAGGGAAGGGAGTCTGCACGTGATCCACAATGCCAAGCGAAGGTCTTTCATACTGTAGTACTAGATAGAATTAGCTCTAGCACTGTAGATTAGATTACGAGCTAGTCTGGCCACGTGATGTAGTCTATATCCACACCCCCCGCGCTACTCTCGGCTACACGGAACAACCACAACGCACCACCTGCTAGACGCGCACTTAAGTTTCTCCGAGGTCAAGGTCCGAGCTTCCGCAGTCATGGCAGAAGACAATTCAACCCGTTCCACGCGTACCCGTGCGCGTTCAAGAAGCATCTCCAGCGACCAGTCACCACTCCTCTGCCCAGTGACGCCTGAGGAAGAGCAGCTCGCCGCCTTGGTTAAGAAAATCCTCAAGGATCAAGAGAAGGAGAAAAAGATCGCCGCCGCCGGCTCTTCCAAATCTCAATCTCAACCTCAATCTCCTTCTCCATCTCCATCTCCAACCCAATTGCCCTTCCGTCCCCCCAGACATTTCGTCGATACCCTCCAACCTACCAGCCCCGACAAGCCCCGTTCCCGTTCGCCCAGTATGAACTACCAGAACTACCTCGATTCTCCCGGCGGCTCTGGATCGAACTCTCGTCAAGCTCCGCCGTCCCCGTCCCAAGGTCTGCCCCACGCCAACGGTATGAACGGAGGCATGGCCATGGGAGGCGGCATGGTTGGCTACCCGACCCCCGCTGGACACCAATCCGACCTGAACTACGTTATGTCCATGGTTGAGGAGCTTTCTTCGGTCCTCCGTACGAACCAACAACTCACTGCCGGAGTCGTTGAGAAGATGGGCAAGGTCCGCGAGAAGGCCGCCAATCTCAATCTCAACAACGATGAGCTTATCGCTGTTGTTGCTTCCGAGCTGAACGGTACGTCTCATTTCTCCTCTATCATTACAAAATACACCTTCTAACGCAATCTACAGAGGATTCCAAGAATCTTGAGAAGGAGAACTCCGAGTTGCGCAAGGCTCTGGAGAAGTGCCAGCACGACAAGAACGAGAATTGGAAGCTTGCGGTTCACGGAGCCAATATTCTCGCCGATATTACGGAGAAGATGCACAGCTTTAAGGCTCAGCATGAGATGGACACACTGGCTTGGCACAAGAACTACCGGAAGCAGTTGGCTGATGAGCGCGAGGAGAACCTGAACCTTCGCAACCAAATCAACGACATGAAGGCTGCCGCCTGCCGTGCAAACGGTCATCTCCGAGACATGCGCCGCTTCGTCACCGACCACCCCGAGCTTCATGAACTCCGTGTTCAGAACGTTCAGTTCCGCCAGGAGCGCCGTTTCTGGAAACGTAAGGCCATGCCACTGATCCCCGATGACGACTCGGAGTGGTCCGACGATGACGACCTGATCGACCCGGAGGAGAAGAAGCGCCAACAAGCTCTGCTCGCCGAGAAGGACCGCAAGGACAAGGAGGCTGAGGATGGCGAGGGTGCTAGTGCTTAAACCTCCCCTCGACCAGTTCTTCCGGATCTCTTTCTGCATCGCTCGGAGTTGGAGGAAGATACCCAGGGTGAAAGGGGCGTTTTATTTGTTGCTTTTTCTCGGATGATGGTTCATCATTCACAGTTACACATGCATGAATGCTAAGGGGTACTGCCAGCGTCGGGCGCTGAGCAACATATAGCAGAAAATGAAGTTCTCTTCTCATAATCGCATTTTCATAATGACGCAAGTTGTCTACTGTGGTCGATTCAATCCTTCTGATATTCATCTGCCGTCTCATCTCCCGGCTGCGCCAACTTTCCATGGTCGTTCATGCCCTCACGCTTACAAAACACCCACCCCCTTCTCCACCAAACTCTTGAACATCTTCTGCCTCTCCTTTTCGAAGCCCTCGTACCAAAACATTGCCATCTCGACCGGCACCTCCTCCTTCCCCTCACATAGTCCCGTCCAACACTCCTCGGTGAATTTCTCCAACGGCATCCCGATCTTCCCACCCTCCTTGATATCAGGCTGGTGCTTCGCGTCATGCAACTCTGTCTGCACGGCTGGCGGCATGACTTCGACGACGGTCAGATTCTCGGCGGTGTGGCGGAGCTGCTCGCGCAGGCAGAGCACGGCGTGGTGCAGCGCGGCCTTGGTGGCGCAGTAGTTGGGGCAGCGCGTGATGGGGACCAAGGCGAGGCCGGAGGTGGTGAAGACGATAGAGGTCCTCGTCTGGCGGGAGAGGGAGGTGAGGTGCGGGAGGAAGGCGGTCGTGAGGTGGATCGGGGCCAGGTAGTTGGTTGTGAGCTCGGCGCTGACGGCGGAGAGGTCGATGGACGATGGCGCGGTGAAGTCCAGTCGGCGCTGGATGCCCGAGTTGACGATTACGGAGGAGAGAGTTGGGTGGGCTTTTGTTACGCTGTATTTTGGATGAGCTGTTAGTGAGTGCGCCTCGTCTCTTTTGGTCTGACTCTCTCTCTTCTCTCTCTCTCCCTCTCTCTCTCTCTCTCTGTGTGTGTGTCTTCCACTCTGTTCCAATATTCTCCCTCTGGTGAGCTAGTCCGGGGTAAGGACTACTACTGCTATTAACTCACTTCTCCACGAAACCAGGAATCCCTTCCAGATCCGTGATATCGAATTTGATGATCGACACTTTGTCCCTACCATGCTTCTCTTGGAAGGAAGCTAGTTTCTCCTCCCGGCGCCCAACGGCGATTACGTGCGATCCGTTGGTAACCAACTTCTCAGCAAGCGCGAGTCCGATCCCGGACGTTGCGCCGAGAACGAGGACGGTGGCGTAGGGGTATTCGAGGGCTGTTGCTGCTGGTGCTGCTGCCATGGTTCGTAGTCGTTATGGTGGGGGCTTGTGGCTTGAGAAAGAAGTGAGGTGTGTTTTTACGATGCTGGACTTTTCTTCTCTTCTTTTTTTCCCAGGGGGGGGGTTCTGTTTTTTTCTTGACCTTCTTCTTAATCTTCTTCTTCTCCTCTTCGTTGTTGTTGTTATTGTTGTTGTTGTTGATATTGGAAGTTGCAGTAGACAGAAGAGGGGTAGAAGTTGATATAAGAGCTCGCTATCGCTCGCTTAGCCCCCCCGCGTTCAATCCCAGCTAGGAAATGTCATGATCTCATTCGCTATCCACCCCTTTCTTGGCGATTACCCAAGTACAAGTTCAGGTACGGTATGTACAATACAACTACGACTTACAACTCCTCGCAAAGGCTGGGGGCTTCGAATCATCAGTTTGGCAAATGCATTATGGCAGTCTTGCTTTCTCGTTACATGTGTAAGAAGAGATGTCCAAAGAGAGACATCTACCGTCTCTTCGTGGAACATGGTTCAAGGAGAAAGGCAGCTCTCCGAACCAAGGAGCTGAGTATGGAGGGTGTTCTCGATGGATCATCAAGTTTCAACACCAACAAGGTAAGTAAGCTATCGCACATGAGGTACGAACAACCCAAGTTCCGAAGATTTGAAGTGCAGATATCTTGTAGCCCTGAAATCAAGTCACATCTCTCACTCACACTACAGTGTCGACCTACCACCAGTTCTATACTTCGTACAGTCACACAACAGACTTTACGTCCTCCTAAGTGTTCGGATCTCAAAAGCTAGAAATACTCTCACAGGGAAAGCACTTGGGAAAGGGTGGTGTTTGTCATATTTACGCTGGATTTGTGAATGCCCTTGAAATGCAACACAACTTCCAACTGAAAACAGTTCACTCTGCTTGCAAAGTTATGCCGCTGTTCTCTGCAACGTCTGACATCGATCCCTCTCTTTTACGCCTTGCAGCCTGGATAAGGTGCTGGCTTCCCATCCACCGTGGTCTTGCACTCTCAGCTGAACCCGCTCGTCGCCAGCTGGATTTCGATCGATCTGAGTTTTTTTCGTTATCGTGTCTGTTCCTGCTTTCAATTGATACTTCTATCTCTGGGCTACAACTGAACCCGTGAGTCTTCATCTATTGAATCCGGAGAATATCCCTCCTGATGATTTCCATGTCAGCGCTTTCCAAGTGACGAACGATGCTGTCTTTCTGCGGTCGAGGACCAGGAGCTGAGATTGAGCCCTTTCTGCCATCCAGATAGGTCAAGTATGATGTCCAAATTGACTTCGATACCTCTGTCACGACTGTTCATGAGTGTCTGTATAGCGCGCTCTGGTTGCGAGACTCAGGCCCAGGCCCAACGTTACCAGATAATCAGGACGTTGCATAGGGCTCACCCGCCCCCATTCCCCACTTTGATAATTGATAACCTGAAGCTGCTGGAGAGTTGAGAAATTTCCTTCATCCCTTCACCTCCTGCAAATGTGCCTCCAAAATGCCCATTTCAGGACATCTTTGGCAGGCTCACCCTCCACCATAGCATCCGCCACTCGGCTCACTCTGGAATTGAAAATGAAGTTATACTCGAGGACTAGTCTCGTACATATTCTTCTTGATCCTCCGGGTACACATGCATAGTACCTCGACCTAGCTGGGCAATTTCTCGTTTTCTCGAGCTCGGTATCCGAAACGAGGTGATCGTAGGTGGACGGGGAAGAGACGACGGCGGAGAGAGCTCCGCGGTCAATATACTCAACGAGAGAGATGGTTCGTAGGGCGCAATGTAATTGGAAGAAAAAAGAGAGAGGTAGGAAGACAACAGGACTTGCTCCAGTGGGTGGTTCAAGAGCCCGACCTGTGTCTGGATAGTTACTCAGGGGGCCCAGTGTAATCGATCTCTGGAGATAGGTAGACCCTGGTGCGGCGGTTACCTCCTCACCATTCTGGCAACCGTAAAACGAAAAGTGATTCTGCTAGGTGCCCCCCCAAGTTGCAAAGTTTCTAGAGAGTTGACCGGTGACGCGACCCCGTGACAGAAATCCGGCCAGAAGGGTTGGGGCACGCAGTCACGTCAGTTGGCGGGAGAAAAATTTTGTGACCTTGATATATCACGTTAGAGAGTAAGTCTTTCATCCAGCGGCGCAGTGGCATACTTGGTTGTCATCTGTCAGGTCAAACTGGTGTGGTGGATCAACAACTTGTAACGATTTGGGGCCGAGTTGGTTAAGAATCACCGACCAACACACGACAACTACGACGGAATTCGATACGACAAAAGATGTAGGCACTCGAAATCGGGCTGAACTTTTTGATGTTTTTTTTAGGAGGTGTTTTTGTATTTTGGAGTTTTTACTTCTGGTGGTCGGGAAGCATTTTTGGTACTCATGTATGTTAGCTTGCTCGGGGTTATTCGTTTTTTTGGTCGACTTTGCCGCTAGGCGAGAAGATGATGAGCCATGGCTGCAGAGACAGTATCGTGTATGGCCCTAGGGGTATGACACGAGTACGTAGGTATATTGTTGAGGTTTATTGCCTAACGCCCTAGCTACATTCCTGGATCCGGAGTTAGGAACCAATTGTTGCCAGCGATGACAGAGGACGATTGAGACCAACAGGGTGATCCTCATACAGCAGCGGGAATACCTGGAATATTTTCATGCAGCTCTACTTCCATCCGACACTCCATTGCTTCCGGCCCGGACTGAATCGAGTGATTTCGATATTGTATATCGATCCAAGCCAATCAGCTAGGCACCTTTTTGGGGGTCTGAAGGCTGAACGGGTTGCAGTAAACGCCCAATTCCGCAAATGGGCTGCACGATGAAGCGAGTGTAAGATCTTGTCCATTCAGAAATTCAGATTTTAGTCCTGTTCCCAATGAGACAGTGACTGGATCATCTGCAGATCCTGAGCCATATATCCCCAAGCATCGGCATATGCATTGAATCAAGCTGATTAGCCAAAGCACAGTGCCCGGCTACGGCCATATAGAATGGTGATAAAGAGGAGACGCAGACAGAGGAAGCTCTGTTGTTCCGTTCCAAGCAAATCTGACCAACGAGCCGGGGCTTTGGGTTTGGTCAGCATACCTATGATTGAAGCGACAAAGCGTCTACTGACAAGATGGGGCTCTCATCCCCTTCCGTAGTTCTTACGAGTATCCCATCGCCGGCGACTTTCCAACTGCCCCCGGCTCGCTCCACATATCCTACAGCCAACAACCATGCATCACGGTCCGCAGCATCTCCAGATTCAAATATCTGAAGGTGCTGGTAATTCGACTGCGGTGAGTCGCTGAACAGCTCTCGCATCAGATGTGCGTAACAAGAATTCCTCTCCATCCATAGGTCTTCTTCTTCAGTATTTGCCATCTTTCGGGCATCCTGCAGAATGTCGTTCTTAGGTACGAGTTGAACGAACAATCTATCAACCCTTGGCAAAAACTTTACGAGGACAGAGAAGTGGCGGAGCGTCGGAAACATACCAACGTAGGACATATCTCTGATAGTAGGGCTTATGTAGGCCTTGTGGTTCTCTGTCTCTGCTCCTACCAAGTCTGGCAAGATCTTTGACTGTTAGTGCTCGAGTCAGATGATTTGGGAACAACCTTACCGATGGGGGGGTCCTAAGCCAATTATGATTATACTCATTCGTTTGATATGCTTTGATGAAAGAGCCTTCGTTGAGCAACAGTGTATCCCAATTTCGAACATCAAACAGTGCGGACGAATCGGCACGAGCGACGCGATCTCCTGGATAGGGTTCGATCGGAGGCAATCCGCTTGCAATTCCTGAGGGTTCGCTTTGAGCGATTGAGGGAGCTGCTTTCGACTCTCTCCCGAGGCAAATATATTGGCATTGGCTATCAAACCGCCAGGCACCCTTAAGATGAACATGACAAGAAGTGAGAGCGCCTAGAGCCCTTGGAGGGGCAGCGATGATGAGTCTGACCGGATCGACGACTTGAAACAAGAGAGACCAGAAAGAATAGAACTCATTGATCCGCGACTGGCCGCTCGGAACATTCGTGACTCTCTCGTCGTGGACTAGAAGAGCGAGAGATCTGACACTATTCTGCAAAGAGGAGGAAATGATGAAGTCCAGGAATGGTTGGATCTGTTCGCTCAATATGGAACGTTGAGTAGTCGGCCGATCGGGGACGTGGACAGAAAATCGGGAAGCCTTGTAGAGCACCGGTAGGCTCGCCGCTCTGAATCTCCTGAAAACAAGAGAGACAGCCTTCAGAGGGGCGTTGTCGGATCGAGTCAGCCCGAAATGCGGCTCATGGTGTAACGCGGCAGTGGATGGTGGTGGTTCGTCCAGACATTCGCAGATTTGTGACAGCAGCTCGTTGGGCAGGTCTCGGATCGAGATGGGGACGGTAGCGGAGGAGGGAGAAGAAGAGGAGGAGGAGGAGGAGGACGTGTAGTCGTCTTCCGGCGTTTTTATGTGCATTGATATAATTGGTTGAATGCTTTCTTGCTTGCTTGAGGGTAGGCTCAAATTGAAGATTGAAGATTGGAGATTAAAGAATGAAGATTGAGGATTGAAGATTGAGGATTGAAGATTGAGGATTGAAGATTGAGGATTGAAGATTGAAGATTGCAGATTGCAGATTGCAGATTGCAGAGTGAAGAGTGAAGGTTGAAGTGTGGTCTCTGGTCTGGAAGAACGGTCCTTGGAGAAATAAGGTAAGTAAAGGTAGGTAGGTAACCTTGGACCCTTAGCGTCTAGCCCAAGCACTTACGGTTTAGTATAAGTGGAGAAGACCAAACAGAACAAGAAGCAAGCCAGGGAGGGGCCAGGGAGGGGCCAGGGTTACCTATGTGGGGTTGTGGGGTCTGTAGATCCGATGAATCACATGGTAGAGCGAGTTCTGAGGTAGATCACGAGGAAGTGTTCGAGAGTACGGAGTCGCTGATTGACTTCATTATCCATCCAGTTCAAGAGCCTGGGGCGAGGTTGTAATAAGAGAAAGTATATATGTATGTATATGTATATGTATATGTATATGTATATGTATATATCTATATCTATATCCATATATTACATCCATATATCTATATCCATATATCTATATCTATATATCCATATATCCCTCTCTCTCTCTCTTGGGAAGTATTCTCCGGATGAGATACCTCCGACCTGACCTACCGAGGTACCTGTTTTCTACAAAAGGAAATTATTTTTCTACGCTTGTCTGCCTACCTGCTGCCCCCACGATCAGCTTTGGCAGGTCATGGTTATATACCGTAGTACTCCGTGTCCTTCATAACCTTTATTACCTTGATTGCTTTTCATGCAATAATGCCATGATTCATCCACCATCCATCCATCCATCCATCCATCCACGTATTCATCTACCCCCCTTCGGAGCAAGTACGCATCTGCCAACAAATTCTGACTCCCATCCAAGTGGGAGATGCGCTCGACGGCTCGAACAGATCACGGATTTTGGACTTGAGATATGTTCCAACTCTCTGTGCCAGACATAGCAAGCAGCCTTTACTGAGACTGAGAGCGGGCTTAAGCCTGGCGAGACTGTCATCTGCTCTGGCGAAGTCAAGCATGTTGGAAGGAAGCACTTATTACGTCAACATTCAGTCGAACTACCCGAAGAGCCTTTTTTGCTGGCAGAGAAAAACGGCGAAACCAAGCTTACTCTCGCTTTTGAGCCATTTTCAAGAGACAAAGCAGCTAGCTCATCTGAGCCCAGGATTTCACCCGGACAAGAGCCTTGAATGTGTTGGTTAAGCCGTCGCGGTCATCCTCCATGAGCACCGTAGCGAGCAGCTCCTCCCACAGCCGCTCAACCAGAGGTGGCCCGGCTGCAGCCGTGCGAAGCGCAGCAAAACAGTGTTGGAAGCATGTTTGTTACTGGCGCATGGATCATGGGTACCGACGAGTTGGACTGCCACAGTACCAGTCTTTGAAATGAGTGAACATGACATGTAAATTTTGCTGCACATACCGTCAACTGCTGCAAATTGGGCTTCAAGTGCCAGCACTATAGCATCGCCAGGACTATAGTAGAGTCGAAGCTTAAGAAAGTGAGGATGCGGTGTGGATTCATAACCACCACCCTCATTGGTGATCAATCAAAGCCGACCCCCGAAAGAGGAATCTGATGTTGTGAGGACTGATCAAGTATGTAGAGAAGCGCTAGACTTGGACCTGCAAGAGACCAGAATGGTATATCAGACCCGCGTCGTCGGGATGCATCGTGTGAATAACGTGACTCATATCCAGTCGCGGATAATTGCAGTATCTTCGACAAGGTCACGAGGTATAGCTAGCTTTCCAAGCCTCAAACTAGCCACCGCATAACGAGGATCATGTAAACAAATAAACAATACCCTGAGCTATGAAGTTGACGACCTTGAAAAGCGCGAAAAGCGCTCCTCTCCTCTTAGCCAGTTGGGCAAGGGCAAAAGCAAATGCAAGAAGAGCCCACTTGGCATGATCGGAGCCCGTGTCTCAAAGAGACGGGATGGGTGCTTCCCGGCCCTTCCCCGATAGACTGACTGACTGACTTGATAGGTAGTTAGTTGCCTTGACAGCCAGAATGAAGCCCGAGCGAGCTCTTGCTGACCATGACCGGACCACCAGGATGGAGAAATGATCTACCATCTGTATTGTGTGACGTGCAATATATACCGGGAGTCACATAAAAGGACTTGGTGGGCACGACGCCAAATTCAAGGCCCAAGGTACACAGCAGAAGTAGGTACGGTACTCCTGCATCCTGCATCGGATGAACGAACTCTGCTGATGATTAGAGGACAGATGTCGGATGTAGATGTGGAATCGTAGTTGTGGATGTTGATGTTGACGTAAATGTTGTTGATGTTGATGTTGATATAGATATAGATATCGTCATAGAATCCAAGGAAAACGTAGCTTCAAGACATGCATGTCGTCAACAGAAACTTCGAGATAACATTACTCGAGCAGTTGACTGACTGGCGTGATGTGATGCAACTGTAGGTAGGTACCTATTGTGTACAGCTTGCAGTTGAAGTTTGCACGAACGCCCGAAGGTGGGTACAGCGGGTGCGGGATCAAAACAAACCTACGTCCCGACGCGACCGAGGTCTACGTACCTATGCGATCTATCTATGCTAGGAAATCAAAAGAAGAACATGGCAAGAAAGATGCGACTATTTATGTGTACGTGTAGAGAAAACATTACATGTGTTTATTGGGGCTTGGACGAGGGGAATGATATCTCTTCAATTCGGAAGTCCATCGGGAGGGTAAAGCAAGGTTGGAGTACCGGTATCAAATACAATAGCGGGCTGGCTCGTTGCCCCCCCAACGAGACCAACAGAAATCCCCCTCCCCGATCTTCGTAAGCTCCCTCGGCCATATCAACACTATCACATCCACCACGATCCCTTTTCTCGACCTGAGATCCAGTTGTATTATTGGTTTGCTTGCTTCCTCCTCGACCACATTGTGCCCTGATCGCTTTCGAATGCTCTCCTGGCGCCACGGATGCATAACAAACCTTCGTTATTAAGTCGCATTCCTCGCCCCGTCGGTTCCAGTATTGCTCGACTCTGCTCCGCCATTTACTTCCCCATTGGGCAAACAGTGACCTCGACCTCGACCTCGACCCCAACCTCAACCTTCACGCTGGGAAAGTATACTGCGCGATTCATAGAGTATCACCGGTAACGCTTCGGCGGTTTGTGAAAGGCAATGGAGACTCCCTCACCAAAGCAGGTACGCGCGCCCCGTAGATCTGTGTTGATAAACAAAAGACATTGGCATCATCTTGAATCCAACTGACGGCGATTAGGTCAACCCGCTGCGCATATCCAAAGGCAGCCCATCACCGATAAAGAAGCCCACCCCTTCATTACCGCGAGCGCTCTCAGAGCTTGCGCCGACTGAACGGAGGAGAAACTCGCCCAGTTATAACCAGGCCACAAAGGTATGGCGTCCCGGCCCTTCATGCCTCGGAGAATTTTTTTCTCTTTCTCAAAAAAAAGCTAATACCGACGACAGAAGATGGTTCTCAATGGGGACTCGTCTCCATTCCAATCGTCGCCCTTCAATGCTTCCGAGGCCAATTCATCGCCACGTCTCTTCTGGCAAGGCCGCGACCCTGCTACGCCAAATCGACTCAATACCGAGAATTTCTTTGCGGGCAGAGAGGGTTCCCCCTCACCTACTCGCCGTACGTCTATCGAGCGTCTGCAGCGCGCATCGCGCGTCAAGAATAGCAACATGTTCGCGCGTGAACAGAAGCAGGAATACGATCCGACCTCACTACCCGTAGTCGAACGCCCCTTGGCTAAGCAAATACAAGGAAATGCGTATGGAGGGGCTGGCTTAGACGGTCTTCGATCGGCAGACCGTGGACGTCAATTTGGGCTCAACAGAACCGATAGCAAGAGCAGCATCTCCCTGTTCAGTCCGTTTCACAGCCCAACCAAGATCCCTCTTGCCAGCAACGGAAATGGACTGCGCTCGCCGAGCAAGGACCAGATCTCACCTACCAAGTCGGCGCTGTCGTCTCGCCCCTTCAATGGTAAGACAAGCTTCGACGCGGAGAATGGGACCTGGCAAGATGACGAGGAGGGCGAGGAGAGACAACTTTCACCGGGCCGAACTCTCCACAGACACGCGAAGAGCGTCACATTCGATGCTGCCCCTCCACAAATCAATGAGTACGAGATGACGACCCCAGACATGTCCTCTATAAATTCCGGATCGCGGGAAAACAGCTACGATTCGGGCGAGGAGGAAGATGAAGATAGCTACAATCGTGGTGACTCCATGGAGCAGGATGACAGTTTCGATGCTTCCCTTGAGGATACTGACAAGACACCCGTCGTTGGGCCAGAAGATTGGAGACATATTAGCCCCGGTGAGCACAGCGCCAGTATCGTGTCAGGACGCTTCGAAGATCCATTCGGTGAGCCAGAAGGTAGCCCGATGCCTGATGTCCGCCCATCTCCAGCCGCCGGCAGAACCGCAGCAACTCGTAACGACTCCCTCAATTCGAATGGTGAGCATCGTCCTCTCCCACCTCTGCCTGGCATGGGTCATCACAAGCGCAGCGGCTCCAGCTCCTCCTCCACCGGTGTCTCTGCTGTAGCGGACCGTGTCTCGAGCTCTCAACGTACTCTCCCATCTCCACCTGCAGCTGCATCTTTCAGCAAGTCCGACATTCAAAGCTTGAGTGGTGGCAAGATGACTCTGGAGGAGAGACTTCGTCTGATGATGATTCAGGATGAGGAGAAGCCAAAGACGGAAGCAGAGAAGCAGCGTGAGCGTCGAATGAGACGTGGAGGTCCTCGAAGCGATCGCAGCAGCCAGACCCCCGACCGTGACCTCATCCAAATTCATGAGGATGAAGACACCCTCGATGATCTTCCTGGCCTTGGTTCATATGAACTTCCGGAACGAATCTCGCGAGAGTCAATTCTGCGAAAGGTCAACGGCCAAGATCATTTCTCGCGAGAATCGGACTACAACTTCTCATCCCCGATGCCGAGTTCAAGTCCAGAACGCCTCCTGGCTCTCGACCCAGACACTCCCTTGCCATCAACAGAAGACTACTCTTTGATGGAGAACGACGACAGCGTGGTTATCAAGAGGGAGCCCGAGGACGAAGATGTTGATGTGTACTCTATTGCGGACATGTACCAACGCACCGACTCTCAAGCCAACGCCTACGACGGTGAAGAGGAAGTTCTGGCGGAAGAGGATGCCGAGAGCCAATACTCTCAACCCACACCTTCCAACCAGAGCCCCCATGCCCAATCAAACAGCGGCCCAGAAGACGACGGCCCTCCAACTCCTCGTGCTCACAGCTCAACCCCACCTATTGCTTTGGCTGATCCAGTAAAGCACGATAACAGCGATTCACTTCCAGAGCCCACCGGATTCTTGAGCCAGGGTGACTTTAGTCTGAGCCTCCGGTCATACATGACCCCTTCGCCACCTCCAGGGAACCAGCCGAACCCAGAACCAGAGGACCAGCCAGAGTCAATACTAGAGGCTGTGAAGGCGGAGGATGCCCCAAAGATGGCGGAAGCTTCAAAATTCCTCTCGCGCCCAGAAACGCCCGAAGAGAGCCCGATGCCCATTTCGAGACCTGAGTACGATGGATCTGGATGGGGCCCTGAAGAAGACGAAGAAAATGATGTAGGAACACCCGATTCTGTCATTCGTCATCCCATGCCGGCTTCCCCGCCTCGCGACTCCCCAAGTATTCCTGAGGCTGTTGCTACTATCAAGTCGTCCGGTTCCAAACTTAAGACGCGCCCATCCAACACTCCTGCGGATCTCCAAGCGATGAGAGAGCTGCGACGCAACGTTAGCGGGACTCACACCATTCCTCCAATTCCTGACCGACATCGCAACCGTGCTTCTCTGAGCTTAGAACGCGAATTGGGCCCAACTGAGATTGAAGCTGGCGTCGAAAGACATCCGAGTTTCCTCAAGAAGTCTCTGACACTGGACATTGGCTACGATGGTGGTCTGAGTCTTGACCAGGATTTCGACCGGGTCATGGAAGCCCAAAAGGTTGCGTCTGACCTATCTTATTCTAAATTGCATTTCTCATTGCATCAAGGACAAGCGTCCAACGCTGGTATCAAGTCGTCTTTTGAAACATATGCTAATATCACTCCTCGTAAACAGCGTGGGTACTTGATGAGACAGAACACCAAAATTGTCGTTGCTTCAAGCAATGATCAGATATCCGATGATTTCCATGGAACGCGCTCTGCAGGCAACTCTCCCATCAAGACTGACCGCCCGCAATCGTGGACTGTTGAGCCTTGGAATGGCCATACGCGTAAGAACAGCGTCCGTGATCGGTCAAATGCTCGTAAGAAGACAGCAAATGCACCCTTGCCACCCATGCCAGGCCAGGACAGCAATGCTAGTGGCTGGGGTCTGACTTCAGAAGGAGCTACGGCGGATCCGGCTCCCGAGGAAGGTAGTGAACGAGGCAGATTATTTGTCAAGGTGATAGGAGTGAAAGATCTTGATTTGCCCTTGCCCAAGAGTATGCAGCCCTATTAGTTCAAACTCAACATCACTAACCTGGAACAGATGAGCAGACCTGGTTCAGTCTCACCCTTGATAACGGCGTACACTGTGTCACTACAGCCTGGCTGGAACTCGGAAGAAATGCCCCAATTGGACAAGAATTTGAGCTTGTTGTGCCCAACGAGCTTGAGTTTCAACTGACTCTCAATGCCAAACTGGTGAAGCCTCCCCCGAAGCGAGTTGTAGAGTCGCCCACCAAGTCACACAAATTTCAAAGGCCGTCCACGTTTAGCCGCGTCTTTGCGTCACCAAAGAAGCGTAAGGAACTCGAGATGAAGCAGAAGGAAGAGGAACAGCGAGTCGCGCAACAAAATCAACGTGATGCCCAGGCCAAAAGAATATCTGTCATTCCAACCGCGTGGGATCTTCTCTCGCCCTTAGCTGCAGAAGACGGAAGCTTTGGACGCTCTTACGTCTGTCTCAAAGATCACGAGTCACGATGCTACGGTCGCCCTTATGTTGTCGATATTGCATGCTTCAACGAGTGGGCTACTGAAGAGGCTACTCACACATCGAGCGTGATGAGTAAGCGTGGGAGCACCAGTGTCCAAAGACGAGCTCCATACAAGGTCGCAAAGCTTGAGTTGCAGCTGTTGTTTGTTCCCAAGCCCAAGGGTGCTACGGACGACGACATGCCTAAGAGCATGAACTCCTGCATTCGCGAGATGAAGGAGGCTGAGACAGCACTTTCTCGCAACCATGAAGGTACTCTCAGTCAACAGGGTGGCGATTGTCCCGTAAGTGTTACCAGAGCATTGTTTTTTTTTTTTTTTTTTTTTTTTTTCTTTCCTTTCTTCTCCTCCTCTCTCTCTC